CAGCTGCCTGGGTCTGGATCATGGACATGTGGCCGCTAATCTGCAATAACACCCTTTCCCATCACTCACGCATATGCCACATTCACACTGCAAGAAGGATGAAGTGTATTGCTCATCAGCACTGACTGCAGGATTGAACAGTCAACTCTCTGGTTTTAAGGCAACAGCACCACCAAACTGTAACAAGCATAGTCTAAGAATTACTAAACCTTTCAACTGTCCACTTGACAGTCCATTGGGGGTGTGCAAAAATATCAAAATATCAATATATCATATAATTTTATGTGATGATACAATATTGTTGTTGAAGTTTTCAGCTTGTCCAAGAAAGGGTGGAAGTAAAAGGCTGGAGACCAACTGGATGTCTTAAGCAGGAGAAGTTTATTTACCATCCATAATACGGGCCCGGGGGGACGTGAAAAGTCAACATAGTATAATTTTAAAAGTGAACATAGTGTGATCTTTGAGTGTTCAAGGCCCTTGACTCTGCTTCCAGAGGAGGAGGTTTATAAAGCAAGTGTGGTGAGACTATGAAGGCCAGTAGGCACCAGTTAGACAACAATATGACACAATTTAGATAATGGTATGCCAATGGTATGCCAAGGAAAGATCATGGTGTAAATATAGCTTTTGGGAGTCAATGTTAAACTGAGATGTACGTGGAAGATAAATTACTTAAATTCTCTTACAAATATCAGTACTGGGGGCTGCTGTATCGATACATCACCAAGACAATTTTTTAGTATATTTACTAAAATATTTTGTTACAGTTTTGTTGCTTGTTTAGAGACTCGTTTATGCAACACATTTGACATACCATAATATACCAAATAATGGTCGTGTTTCAATTAACTGCCGGGTCCCCTTTAAAATGTGCAGGTGTATTTTTTGATAAATAAGCATCAGTTCCACATAAACGCAGACTAATGTATTAAAAAAGGTCAGATCAGCCTCACCTTCACTGAAAAAGTGCTGGAACAGATGACACTGCTGTGAAATCTCTATTTTGAAGTGACGTAAAAAAGAAAGACAGTGCAACATAGCAGGCAGGAAATTTAAGCACTTTTCAGGAGTTTTGGTAATATTACTTCAGTTTTACAATTCGTAGGAAGCAGCAATGTCATCGTAGCTGCTGTGGAGTAAGTTGTGGCAAAAAAGTGAGGAAAGGCAGGGGGTGAGGTGGCAGGAATCATGCCAACAAGGAAGGAAAAGTAGTCACCAGGCCATCGTATAATGGTAAAACTGTAAATTATAGTCATGCTGGTTAAAAGAAATTGAGTACCATATTTTCCCAGTTTTGCTGAGCAAGATTTTTGTGAGGAAGGAATTAATCACCTGCCCCAAACTGCCACCTGGTCTCAAATAAAGGCCTGGTCTGTTAAGTGATTGAAACAAATAAACACCCAGGCTATTATTCGGTATTTTATGGTATTCACTGTTTTGATGATTAAAATGTTTGTGTTTCATATAAACTTTGCATAAGAAGTGGTTTAAAGACTTTAAGTATCACAGCCATGATTAAGCCTTTATTTTTTATTGAACCATATCGAATCATTTTCAAATATATCATATCGAATTGAAAGTGCTCTGTATTGAGGTATGTATCGTATCGGCAACTTCTTAACGACACCTAGATCTGTATATCCCAACTCCTGTCCTGTCTGCAACTCCAAATTAGACGTTATGTGACAAGTGAAGTACTGAAAATCAGATACTAATAAATACTAAAACTAGTATCAAAACTATATACTGATTAGAAGTGACAATCACTTCCCTGAATAACTTTAGAATGATTTTGAGCTGTATCAGAACAAGTCTAACACAGTTTTTTATTATAATCATGGTATTGGAAACGGTATTGAGTATGGAGTCTATTCCTTAGTATCGAAACTGAGAAATTTTAGTTTTGTGATAATGCTAATCCCAAACAACATCACTGGACTGCTGCTACGTCTGTATCACCAGTAAAATCAATACCAGCTCTTCAGTAAGTGAGAGCCCTTTAGTTTTTATCGCCAATAAACACCGGACATCTGAGGCTGGATGGATCCCAATGGCCCTAGCTGACACTTCATTCTCTTTTCATTTAGACAAACAACACCGCCTGAGCTACTCCTTTAAACGAACACACTCCAGTACTAAAGAGAAAAGAGAGGAGAGGGATCACCTGTCGATAACTGTCCCAACACAGCGACTACACAGCCAATAATGACTAATCTACTGACTAATCGGGGTGGGACGAGGCACAATTTTCACGAGACCACACAAACCATGAGATTTGTAATAAATGAATAGTGCTATTAATTTCACAGTTTTTACTTTAGCTGTCATTGTAATACTGCTTTTTGGAACTACAGCTTCTTAAATTGTATAACTCACCAGTTCTTAACTCTTTTTTTTATCCAAGCCAAAGTTGAATTCAAAGGGAAAAAAATCTCATGAGATCATTTTCCTCATGTGTGCACGATCATATAGCAATTTAAATGTTCATATTAACGTGCTCTACATGATCCTGGTGTTTTTATTTCATAAATTCCTATTCCTAATATGGAACTGACTCCAAATTCGCTCCAATAACCACTAGCCTCTGTGAGCTTCATCTGACTAGAGCCGAACGCTATGAGTGACGTCACACTCACTGGTCCAATTCTTTATACACACTTTTAATGATTACTGAAAGCAAATATACCATATGGATGTAGTTTATAGCCTCTTTTAAAGTAACATAGTAAAGTTATGTTTTCTATAACCAAAAAAGGGAACGCAACCAAAATATATTCTGTTTTCAGTTAATCAATCAAACTTTATTTATAGAACCCTTCACAGTATTCAAGGTGACCAAAGTGCTTTCCGATAAAACCAACACAATTTAAAGAAAAATCTAAATATTAAACGACAAAATAAAACAAATTATATAAAGTGTCACTACATTACTTAGTGTTAACAGCCAGTCTAAATAGAGTCAGTTTTGAGGTAGTTTTGAGCCTGTATCAGACCGTTGTGCTGAAGAGGGAGCTGAGCCAAAAGCGAAAGCTCTCGATTTACCACTCAATCTACGCTCCTGCTCTCACCTATGGTCATGAGCTTTGGGTAATGACCAAAAGAACAAACGAAAGATACAGATGGTCGAAAGGAGTTTCCTCCGCAGACTGGCTGGGCGTTCCCTTAGAGATATAGGGTGAGGAGCTCAGTCACACAGGAGGAGCTTCGAGTAGAGCCACTGCTCCTCCATGTAGAGACTAGCAGCTGAGGTGGCTCAGGCATCTGTTCTGGATGCCTTCTGGGCACCTCCCAAGGGAGGTGTTCCGGGCATGTCCCACTGGAAGGAGGTTCCGGGGAAGACCCAGGACATGCTGGAGGGACTATGTCTCTGCACTTTTTTGCATATCGGCTATGGGCCTTAAATCTCCAGCAGTGCCCGATATTTTGTTTGGCCCAACCAGCTGCCTAAATATGCATGAAAAATATTTGCATAAAGCTTTAGTCTAAAGAGGGAACTGCAAAAAATTTGACTAAACCGCTCTCTACACATTTCGTAGAAAACATGTTTGCGGTTGAGTTTGTACTGACTTTTAATTAGAGAAATTGGGGAAAATGACCAAAATCATCACCATATATCAGTCTAAAAATATTGGTGAAGGTCCTCAGTGATCGCTTCCTCTGGATTCTAAACAATCAATATCAGCATCGGCTAAAAATAACATTTAAAAAACACAATATATGAAAAAACACATATCGGTCAATCTCTAGTTAAACCCAGAAGGAATAATATCGTGAAATAAGTTGTTTTTTTCAATCCAGTTCTTGAATAAGTTCACAAACTTACTTGCGTAGCCCACAGATCTGCTCTTAACCTACTTTTTTATTCATTTTTGGCATCTGACATTATAAGCAACTGCCTAAACCAGGGAACGCCTAATGACAATAAAAGTTGTCAGCGAGCAAATTCAAATAAGGCAACATGAATGATGACAATGTGGTACTTTCTGTGTCCCACCCGAAAATGAAATGAAAGATCCACCCACAGTTTACATGTCTTAAATGTACTACTTGACCTACTCCTATAATCTACATTCATCCCAACTATAACTCGACCCAAATGCAACAAAATATGCCACGAGTAAAACTAATAAAGATGTACAAGATTGTATGTAGCGTTTAAAAGGTCACACTGTCTTCTCTCACTCTTTCTCTTTCTCTCTTTTTCTCTCCTCTCTCTCTCTCTCTGAAGTCGTGATGGGCAATCAGGGGACAGTAATGCAGCTCTTTTACTACGCAGCATGCACCTAATTCGACCTCAGTATAAACCAAAAGAGTTAAACAGCAAAAACTGTATAAAAGGGCAATTCTCGTTTATGTTGTGTGTAGAAAAGATGCGTTTTTGGACCTTTATTTTCACTCACATATTCGCAAGGTTCTTAATAGCAGATTAATAACACAATAGCAACAATATCTAAACAAAGGAAGCCAAATTTAACGATATTTTGTTCGTTAATATGCAAGTTCTGGTCAGTACGGTGAGCATGTGGTGCATCATACGGCGTGACTGTAAATTCTACGTTTTGGACAATAAGTATTTGAGTGAAACGGCACGTTTAGCGTAATCTTTGGCCTATTTCTAGACCTGGGTAAATCTGTAATGGTGTTCACGTCGATATTTTGTTCGTTACTACACAAGTTCTGGTCAATATGGTCGGCATGTGGTCCACACGGTGCGTCATACGGCGAGACTGTAAATTCTACGTTTTCAACAATAAGTATTTGAGTTAAACGGCACGTTCAGCGTAATCTTTGGCCTATTTCTAGATCTGGGTAAATCTGTATTCGTGCTCACGTCTGTAGTAAACCTTTTATGAATGAATGGAGCGATCCGATAAGCGCTGCTTGCCCGAGGTTCACCTGCGCTCACGTCGTCACGCTGCAGCTTAATCCCCATCAGCGGCACGCAAACAACACGGATTCTCCAAATAAACAAATAAATACACAATAAAACGTCTTACCGCTTGAACATGGCCTCCATATCTTTGATCTGTTTGCGGGAAAACTCTTTAAATTCGGTGTAGGGGTTGAAGACGCGGCTGAGACGGGGGGCCGCGTTGCCGTCGTTGATGTCCAGTCTTCGGTTCAGTTTGGCGGTCAGTTCGCTGGGAGAGTCGCCCCCGTCTCCTCCGCCGCCGCTGGCCCCCTGGTTCGTGTGATGGCTCGGGGAATCCATGGGGGTTCTGGGTCGGACCGGGCTCTGTGGAGGAAGAGGCTGGCGCTCTGGAGATTCTTGGCCCGGTTCTCCCGCGGAGGTAGCGGCGAGGCGGGATTGGAGTTTGCGGGCCAGCTCGTCGGAGGCCATGGTCGGTGGTGCTGTGATGAGGAGATGGAGCCTGTGAGCCTGACACTGGAGAGTAGCACCGTCAACTCTGCACACACGTAAACAAAGGTCAGTGCGCTGCTTCCGGTACAGCGCTGCCTTCAGAATAAAAGAAGCCAATTCCTACCACCGGAAATGACAAAATTGATGCAATAAAAGCGCTTTGTTTTTCTAAACTTGGCTTTAGCAGTGAATAATTGAATTTAGTCCAATAACACATTTTTGAGATAAATTATTGTTTCTCCAAGTCAGTTAAAAGAGATTACATTCTTAAAATACATTTTGAAAAGAAAGAAATTAAAATAATTGAATAAAAAAATCTTTCCAGTTTCTAAAGTGAGGAGATGCAATTTAAAATGTTTAATAAAATTTATCTTACCAATGAATTTCTAAAACAAAAATTAAACTCTGAGACAGGTAAATGTGTGTTTTGTGACACAGGGCAGGAGGATTTGGAACATCTTTTATTTTTATGTGAGTTTGTGCAAAATTTTTGGGTTGATTTTCAGTCGTGGCTTTAGTCCAGGGGAGTTCAGTTTGCCCCTCTAACCATAAAAAAAAAAAATAAATAAAAAATTATTAATATATGATAAAAGAATGGAATTTGGTATTAACAATTTATTGATTTTGGGTATTTCATTCACAAATGTCGTTTTTTTTTTATTGTTTTTTTTTTTTTTTTTTTTTTTTTTTTTTTTTTTTTTTTTTTTAGATTAAACCAAACATAACACACTTGAAGAATGACCTGAAACTTTTTACTCGCTCATAGGGCCTAACTGAGAGAAAAGAGGCTGGTTTTCGTAAGTCCTTTTTGAATGATTTAACTGTAGCCATTTAAATTAGACCTTTGAAATTTCCCCTTTTATATGTGAATATGTTTTTCACTGTTGTGTTTTTTATGCATTCATTTTATTTTCATGTGAACTGTTTACTTTTATAAGGTGCCTCTTTTGTTTGTATCTGGAAATCTGCAATAAAAAAAAAAAAAGAGTTTAGTGAATATTTTATAGTTGGATTTGTTGTCTGCACTCAAGTCACGCTTAGAACCAAGTAATAATATAGTGATCATACAATTAAACCTATGACGGCCAAGTGTAGGTCTACCAAACCACCAGCAGATGGCCCTGTTTGTCAATTAAGGGATTTCAGCATTGTTTTCACTGTTCTATCAAAAACGTTGACGAACATTTTTATATCATAATATTATAAATTTCTACAATTAAACTTTTTTTCAAGTACAAAATTAAGGACATATTATTAAAAATAAAAAGTCCTGTAAAATACTCATATTACATGCAGTTTCAGCCACCTTATGTCTACTATAAATTGTAAAATAAAACTAAGCTTTTTTTTTCCCTCAACATTTTCTTAATAAAATATAACAACAACAAAAACAAAAACTAAAACACCTTGCTGTATAAATAAGCCTGTTTTGTTTAGCTTTAGGCTGTATGTAGCTCAAATAGGGTGACTAGACGTACCTATTTACCCGGGACAGTCCTAGTTTTGAGCCCTGTGTCCCCTGTCCCAGCAGATTTATCTAAAACCAGTGATTTGTCCCAGTTTTATGCAAGAAACGCCACAGGTGTCCCTATTTTTGACCAATCTGGTCCCTGCCAACAGTAAAGAGACTCATAAATTGCCATTTTAATTTAGCATTTAGGACTATACTGAGTCATATTTGTGCAGAATGCAGAACAAATTTCCTTAAACAATTTTATTATTAGCAACCATCCCAAATCACTTGACGTACCAGTTTTTTTATTTATTTTGAAAACCTGGGTCACCGTAACCTTAAATGTTGAATAGTTTATATGGTAAACACCCATGCTTATGTACAGTTTATGTGTACAATAAAACATTTGAAGTACACTGTTTGAACAAACTCTATAAAGCTAGATTTATTTTATTTTTTTAATAATATATTTTTATATTTATATCTTATTTTATTGTGAAAATCATTAACCGGAAGCGCTCTACAGTACCCACTAGCGGAACCTAGCGTGGGAATTCACCATGTAATATTTAACAGCCGCATTTGTCAGCGTCTTTTTGCCTTTTCCAGCCAACAGATGGACAACGCAGCGACAGAAACCACGGTCTGAGGACTAACAATGAGCTAACGCCAAAATCCGCTCACATAATCGGGAGAAGGACGCGCTTTGGGTATTTGACACTTGTAATTTCAATGACACAGTTTTTCCTCTATGGCAGCCTAAATAGAACAACTGTCAGCGGCGTACAGCATGTCCAAAGTCTACTTTTTGCGGGATTTTATTAGTGGGTTTGTTGTTTTGTGTTTGCAAAATGTAAATCGTTAACAGTATTTTCCGCATAAAGATTTGGGGAACATTTGCACTTGGCAGAGGAAGTTTGGCAGTGTCATACATCTCTTTTCGCTTTCAGATTGGTTGCATCAATATTTCCAGCACCATGCAACTGAAAGAAAAGTTAAATAGTGATAGCATTGCATAATATAGTATAGCTGTTTGCATTGAAGGAGAGTTTAGCGTCATATATGAGTAAGATATGTAGAAAGAAATTGTTGACATAGTTGCCTCTGGCCATGTATTTGCATAAATGGACAGGATGTAAGTTCCAGGCTGAAAACGTGCACAGTTGTTGAAGTGCCTATATTGCACTGTTTTCTGATCTCTGTTTAGTCTCTTATAATGTTGTTTTCTCATCACAAACAGACCTGGAGTTGTGTTTTGTTTCATTCACACATTTCTAACACACAAACCCTGCAATATTTAGGCTTCTTCTTCTTCTCTCAAACAGAAAACACTCGTCACTTGAATCATTTGGATCATTTAAGCCTTGGAATGTCCAACCTTTATGACATAGTTTTTTACTGATGCTGTTTGGCAGATCGATTCTGTTTTGTAGCCCTGACACTAATGTACCTTACAGATACAGAATAGCACTGACTTGGAAAGCACTTTAGAAAATGGAGCTGGGTTGGGGCTGTTTTTTTCAGACTGTATTTGACATACAGTATTTGAAACTATTTATTCTTATTATTTGTGCTGCTGATGACCTGGACATGAGTGCATGTTTCATTTCTGTGTATTTTTTATACTGAAATGACAAATTAATTCTGAATAATAAAGGGTTTCATAATTGAATTCATAATAATAAAGGGTTACTGAAACATGAATGAAACAAAACACAACTCCAGGTCTGTTTTTGATGAAGTAACAGCATTATAACATGGCTTAATGCTCACAAGAGTCACTTTAGGGTAATTTCACGCTAAATCTCTGAATGCAAAAATAAGGTAGAACACAATCACAAATGTTCGATATGTTAAAAACAGGCATCTAGACTTTCTAAAACAGTCCATTTTATGTTGGTGGGTACTGTCATTTTTTTGGTTTAACATGGTAAGTTTATTGTATTTCTTCTTCACAGAGCGCTCCTTGATTGAGACGCCGTCATGGGTCCAGTGCAAAGGTTGGTATTATTACTATTATTCTATATTATGTAATTCTTTCACAGCCACTTGAGACTGTACATCCTGAAATAAGAAACACAACCAACACCTATGCTAATTAGGCGTGTCACAGTAATTACTGTATCAACTTATTGCTTAATATTTGCAAGCCAGAACATCACATAACAGAACACAATATGCTTTGGGGGAACATTTTTAGTTACTTTTTGGCTATAAATATAAGTGTAATTTTTTTAAAAACGTTTATTAATTTATTATTGACAAACTCAAGGAGGTCAGGCTTCACACATCCATGAGGAAAGAATTAGTAATTATAATATAATAAAATAATAATAAAAAACACAAACCAAAATCCAAAGGTTAATTTAATGACCTCTATGATTTATTACAAATGCAAACTATGTACTAAAATCTTTTCTTCTGCTATTTATATACTACAGCTCATGATATTTTAACAGTATTTTACATTTAGAATAGTTTTTGTGGATTAAATCTGCTTTTTGGTGATTGTGTCAGTGGCATAAGGCTAGTTTCAGTGTTATAATTTATTGTCTTTATTTACTTCAGCAATATATCACTATATCGTGACATTCCTAGAGCTTCTCCTCTTTCTCAGATGTGTTATTTTGATAATAGGGATGTAACGATATCCAAATTCTCGGTATGATACTTTTACGATACCCATCCCACGGGACAATATTGCAATATTTTATGGAGGCAACTTTGAGTGCACTCCTTTTTCCTTTCAAAATGCCTAGACAAGCCTTTGGTTCTGCCGTAATCCAAAGAATTAAGATTTAAAAGTCCTTATAGCAGCTATTTCTTCATGTAGTCTGCACTGAAACAGCAAAGGATCATGGTCTATGTAGTTCCCTTTTGTTTTTAGTTATTGCTTGGGATGGTACAAGATCCAATCTCGTAAGACAAAACTGCCAGTATATCATGCACATAAGAGAAAACTTATCTTGTGATTGTTTAAATTTAGATTGGGAAAAAAGGGGATATGTCTCTTACAGGTCCAAAAAGCAGTACTAGAATGGAAACAAAGGTATGAAATTAAATAAATAACAAAATTCTGAGGCCAAAACCAGAAACTGAACCGTGAAATGTATATGTTTGGAATTATGTTAAAATCTCGTCTCGTTCCTGTGGACCCAATCTCGAATTTCGTCTCATCTTGTGGAAATTTTGTCTTGTCCCTTCGCTATTGCCGCACAAAAACTATTAATGTAAGTGAATAAACTTGTAATTCCGATATATTGTGATGTCCCAGGATATTATTATGAGACTTTTGTCGATATGATATTGCAATATTTTGTTTTTTGTTACATCCCAATCCCAATTACCTCATCCTCTTGTTTACACGTTAGGCAATTTTTATTACACAGTTCAATTCAAGTTTATCCTTAACCTTTGAATCGGCCATTGCCCACTTGATACTTGTTAACGTTACATTTACAATATGTGGTCACTTTCTCTCAGCGCTTTGACTCTGACCCCCACAGTAACACGTGGGTATGTGGTCTGACACCTGTTGAAGCACATCTGCTGGTTTCAAGACTTCACAGTGTCGCTCTAAATGTGGCCTGAACGTGGTTATATTTACTTAAAAACACCTGAGCACACATAAAGAAAGAAAATGTGAAGCATGTAGTAGATTTGAATGACTTTTTACAGTTAACGTTGGTATGACTGATTGTTTTTGGCTCTAGTAAGAGAATATATGTGGAAATTACTTGGACACTACTCATAAAACAAAGGCGCATTGTGCAACTTTTCTGGTGAAGGGTTCGGCAAATTTTTATTTATTTTTTTCCATGGAAATGTTATTGCTTCATTTGAGATGTTTCACAGTGCGATATTAAACCTTTCTATCTTTATGGAGACCAAGCCAGACCAAGTTACAGGTCAGACCTGTGGAGAGGCGGCCCCGCTAACAGTCAGAATAACTGTTTTCAAGGTATTTATGAGTTATGAAACCATCTGTAATTGAATAAATGTGACGTAGAGTTGTTTAATGTCATACTGTGCAACATTCCAGGCAGGGCAATGACATATCCATAGAAACAAGCAGGTGACGGACCCCCAAAGACTGAAATATGAACTCAAACCAATACAAGAATCACATTTCAGAGCATGTTTGTACAAATCTAAAGTGCAGGGTTAGCAGTTTTTTTGCCGAGGAAAAATATTTTTGTTTGTGGGAAATTACAGTATTTCAACAATTGCATCCTTTGCGATTTCCTAATTGCATTCATACATCTTGATTTTCATTCCAGACAAAGCAATAACATCTCCATGGTGAAAGGTGGTTGACAGACCCTCCACCAGAAAAGTTACACAATGCAGCTTTAAGCCAGTTTGAGTGATGTAAATGAGAGTTGTTATTGTTAAAAAGGTAAATAGGATTGTCTATATTGTTCACAAACTGTCCCTAAAACGTAAGTAGGTTGGTAGTTTAGAACTGGCTTGGTGGAATGGGGGATACAGTCTTAATAGCTTTTAAAAATGTGCTCTCGCTCAAACCGGGACTCCGTTTGGACTTGTTTAACGGCCTAACTGGGAAAGAGAGAGAAAAAGTCAATGTGAATTATTGCGGTTTCCCAAATAAACAAATCACTTGACTGGTGCTTTTGTGGTGTAAAATCACGCCACCTCAAAAAAAGGGAAGTTAAAAGTTCAGTTTGCTTTGTTGTTGTTTTAAAATTTTCATACATATTACATATTATTTTAACTATACTACTACTACTACTACTACTACTACTACTACTACCTACTCCTACTACTACTGCTTTCTTGTAAGTCATCCAATTTTTTTGTTAAAAACGTTTCATTTTAGGGAAACATAAAATATTTCAAAACATAAAATCACTTTGTACTTCCTCGTATAACCAGATGGGAAGTAAAATTTTCTTTTCTTTCTTTTTTATTTTTTTTAATTTTATTCAGTATTTTGATAATGTGCAATTATATTATATTTTTTATCATTTCAAATTCCTACTTCTTCCCATTTTTGGCTATTTTTCCCACATTTTTGACTGTTTCTCCAATTTCACCCGTAATTTCATCCACATTTCTGGCAATTTCACACAGATTTTTGACTATTTCTCCCACATTTTTCACTATTTGACCCACATTTTTCACTATTTCACCCAAATTTTTGGCTATTTCAACCCATATTTTTTGCTGTTTGACCCACACCTGTATCACTTATTAAATAGGATATATTATATTTTTTTGGTATTTAGAACTCTTAACATCTTAATAGAAATGGTTCTATTGACTTTTGGTTTAATTGGGTGGAGATGGGTGCAAGTGCAGACTGGAATTTTCTGAGCATTCAAGATTACTCAAATATGCATGAATAAGTCCAAATATGCTGACTAAGATAATGACGAGGGAACAGCATAATAAGATTCACATAACTTTAAGAGGCAAGGCAAGTTTATTTGCATACCAGAGTTCATACACAAAGTAATTCAAAGAGCTTTGCAGAATAAGAAATATATTAAAATTACAATACAAACAAATCAAAACATAAATAATCATAAAATAAAAAAGAGCGACATTAAATGAGAGAGAAGAGTTCCAGATTTAAACTCATTAGTGTCAGTGTAACCACATATGTTTTATTATCTAGCCATTTGAAAACCGTTCATTACTTGAATGTGTTGGTAAATTATTGACATTAAGAAATAATTAGAGGACTACTTTTACTGCAGTGTTTTTGGTTTCTCTGTTCTTTGGGCATACTGCCCGAGGTGTTACAAACTACAGCTTGTTTTTACACGTTAGCAGCTCCATCAGCAGATCCTGGTTAGACTGAGCGGGGCCTGTTGACTCTGGGATTAGGTTTACCTTTACAGTGGGTTAGAGCCTTTAAAGGTCAGAACAGTGGATGTGTGAATGTTTGTGTATGTTTTTTGTGCAGAAGTCTGATTCGGCTGATGGGGCACTGCAGGACGAAGCCCTGGGCAGAGATATGTTTTTGTGCTACAAGTGGAGCACGCTTCAGGACCTACTGCACCTCCACCAACCCCCACCCAGGTACAGCCCCCTGCAGCATGGAGATGTACAGAGAATTCAAGTCAGCACCTTAAGTCAAGTGAATGTTACTGTGGACTTTTCATTTCAAGTATTTCCTCAGAAATAACAATTAGAATTTTTTTATTTTTCCCAAGGCAAAATTATTTTCATAACAGACGTGTGTTGCAGACCAGAAGAAATGGGGCCGTCATATCTGTGTGTGTACAGTGAAAAAAATGAATAAAACTATAGATTAAAAAAAATTACCTAATATATTCAGTAGTTTCACTAGATAAAAGCTTGAACTGGTTTAATGTTTAGTGGTTGAGTCTAGGTTTGTATATTCACATGTATGTGACTAAATGTGACTAAACCATAAACCAGACTAGTGGATGTCAGGGCGTGAGCTGATGTCAGGGTGTAAGCTTGAAAGCTTAACATGGCAAAACAAGAACATATGAACAATATCCATTTGTTTCATATGATAATTAACTGTTTTGGTTAACTTAATATATACAGTTAAATATCCAAGTTATTTCTTATAAATGTACAAAAAAGGCTAGAAGAAAACCAGATTTCACATGTTTGTAAGTGTCATTTTTCCACTACACCCAGATCTGTATCTGTCCTTTGTTCAGTGTAATGTGACCTCTGGTATAAAATAGGAGGGTGACAAACTACACTTTTTTATTCCTCAAAGGAAATGAATATATTTCACAGAAAGCTTGGTGTTTTTTCCAAAAATATATAATAATAATAACAATAACTGATATCTGTCAAAGTAGACTTATCATTCATATGCAGAAATAGTAAGTCATAATGCCAATTCCCTGCAACTGACCTCTGTTCCGGTAACAGACAATTAATGCATAGTTGTATTGGTAGGATATTCTTCAATGATTAAACAAATAAAAGCAGTTTATTAAAATGTTGTCAGTAACTTATATCTTATCCTGTAGCTGACTTGGACCCTCTGGAGGTGCACAAACAGCGGCTCCTCATGTGGTTCAGTCACTTGCCCCAGGAGGAGAAGCAGTTTGGGGGGTACTTCAGCCCGGAGACCATGCACGTGGACCCCCTGATTCTGGAGAGGAAGCCAGAGGAGCGGGCAGGTCTACTCTCCTCCGCCCTCAGCCTCCACTCCCAGCACCTCTCCAAAACTGTGGAGCAGCTGTTTGAGCCCAGCCCGTCCTGGGACTCGTCCAGGGGGCTGAACGTGCTGCTGTACGGGGCAGTCGGCACCGGGAAGAGCACGGTGGTCCGAAAGCTGGTGCTGGACTGGTGCAAAGGCAGGATGCTGGGACAATTCAAACTGCTCATCCCCTTCTCCTGTGAGGACCTCAGCCAGCTCTCCAAGTAAGAGCGGATTATTCTGCATGTCTGTACAATTTTTATATATATATATTTTTTAACACAAGTTAAAACTGGTACTATAATGTCACCTTAATTGGATTTTAATTCACAAAGTAGTTTGAACTGTGTTAACAGAGAAGTAGTTGTTGACCAGTTAGTGTTTGTAGATATATTTAACTAAACAAAGACAAATGTTAAAGCACTACATTCAGACGTTAAATGCAACCTATTTCAACTATAGAGCAGCACTAAACATTTTACAACCTTAAAACTTTGTGTAAAATGTTGTGTTATTTCCATTTCCATTTTTTACAATAGCCATGTTTTTTATTTTGAACATTATTAATAAATGACTTGTACTGTGAACTATATTTTCCATAGTATTTTCCCTTGACTGTTTCAGAGTGTCTTCTCTGCGTGACCTGGTGGGCCGTAAGTACCTGCACCTGCGCAGACACCCCCTGCTGAGCGGAGAGGTGGGCCAGGCTCGGGATGTCCTGTTTCTGTTCAACGGTCTGGAGAAGATGAACCTGGACTTTAGAATCGGATCCACAGAGCTCTGCAGCGACCCAAACGAAGCACTGCCCCCTGGAGTCGTGGTGGTCAACCTGCTCCGTAAATACCTGCTGCCAGAGGTGACAATGAATCATCATACAGAAGAGAATCTGCTTTAATTAAATACTATTTAAAGATCTTGTTGATTTGATAGATTGTGCATTTTAGTTTTTTCTGCCCTGTGCATGATTTTCTTTCTCATCTGTTCACTCTTTTTGTGTGATGATTATAGATAGAGCTGCACAATATATCACAATGAAATCGAAAATGCAATTACTAAATCGTAAACTCAGCAATCATTTTTGTAATGGCATGTCTTTTGAAAACAACAAAATTATTTTTTATACATACATGAACATTCATACAGACAGTGGCTACCTCTTTTCTGTATCACAGGAAAAACTAAAACTAAAACACAACACTACCCACACCATACTAATATAAACATGTTCTCAAAAGTATTACAATTCTTGTATTAGTTGAGCAGTTCATATTTCAGTCTTCTCTGAAAATGTGCATTGTGAACTGAATCTTGATTTGAAAACTAAATCACAAATCTAGTCTATAGTCTATAATCAGGCAGATCAATCAGTGGGTCTAACTTTACCAAAGTAATAACCCAGTTTAACATTTGGCTTAAAGGTACAAGGTGCATTGTGTAACTTTTCTAGTGGAGGGTCTACCACCTGCTTTTCTCCATGGAAATGTTATTGCTTTGTCTAGAATGTTTCACAGTATGGCATTGAACCTTTCTATTTTCCTTCCTAAACCAGACCAAGTTGAAGGTCAGATCTGTGGAGATTCAGAGTCAGGATGCCTCTTTCTGAGTATTTTTGAGCCATAAGATCACCTGTAATTGAATAAATATAAAGTAGATCTGTTTAATGTCATACTGTGGAACATTCCAGGCAGAGCAACGACATCTCCACAGAAACAAGCTGGTGACTGACCTCCAACCAAAAAGTTACACAGTGCACCTTTAAATATCACACAAAATGAACTTTTAACCATGTTAGAATGTTGTTATCTCCTCAAAAACATATGTGGAGTTATGTTTTGTTTCATTTTCACTTGTTTGAGTAATCCTTTATTATTAGTCTTTGTCCATCTCCAAAGCTCAGTGTTTTCAGTTTGTGAGAAGAACTCATCCTAAATATGCAGGATTTGTGCATTAAACATGTGTGAATGAAACAAAACACAACTCCAGGGATGTTTTTGATGAGGAAAAATTATAACATAGTTCAGAAAACAGTGTAATATGGGCCCTTTAATTCAGGGTAGTCATGGGGTCTTAAAAGTCCTAAAGTTCCTAAATTAAGGCCTTAAAAAATCTTAAATTATATTGTCCAAGTCTTAAGGTCACAAAGGAACATGGGGAAGTGTAGGTTTAATCCACAGTGGCTCTTACATTCTAGATATCGTAGTTGGTTGGTCTTTATTAGAATTGGATCTGGGGTTTTTTGCCCACATAATTGGTGCAATGTTGGTCTTAATTTCCATTTAAGTGGTCTTAAAGTGGTCTTAAAAAAGTCTTACATTTGGGGTAGTCAAACCTAGGGATACCTTGTAATTAAAGTTCCAGCTCTGTCTGTATTGTTTATAAAAGTAACCACTTACGCTAACCACATATTCTTTTATTTAAATGGATTATTGGAGTATGAAACCTGGATTTTTCATCTATTACTCAAGTTTATTTATTGATCTCTACTAAATCGGTCAATCACATGTCCTCCTGTCCTCCTCCTCCTAGGCCAGTGTTTTGGTCACCACGAGGCTGTCTGCTCTGGACCGCGTTCCTCTGAAATACATCAGCCGTCACGCCCAGATCTGCGGCTTCATCGACCCCGACCGCCAGCGCACCTACTTTGCCAAACGCCTTCTCCAGCAAACCGAAGACATTGCTGTCAAAGAAGGGGCCCAGGCTCTCGTGGAACTGCTCTACCTCAACCTCCAAAGGGAAAGCCAGTTAGCCACCGCCTGTTTCTTACCATCCTACTGCTGGCTTACCTGTGCTACGTTACATTTCCTTCATTTCACCAACGCCAACACGCCCATACGAACTCTAACCGGAATATACACCAGCTTCTTGAGGTTAAACTTCGGAGGGGAAGTTTTGGGAATGGGCACGGGAGCGGGTATGCCGATCCAAGAACCACAGAACTCTCTAATGCTGTACGTCGTCCGGACCGTTGGGAAACTGGCCTTCGACGGGGTCACGAACAAACGCATGTCATTTTCAGAAAAGGAGTTGGAGCAGTGGATCGGAGGGAAAACCAAGACGGATGAGGAGCTGCGACAGTTGGCCATGTTTAGGACGGATGTTTTGGATTTTTTCTTGGCTCCGAGTGTTGAGAAGAACAAGCCTTTTTCTTCAGAACTGAGTGAACACGAGGAGCAGAGATACGTGTTTGCAGCTCCAGCCATGCAGGAGTACCTCGCTGCTCTGTACGTGGTTATGGGAGAAAACAAGTCTGCGCTGGAGATACTCACCAAGTAAGTAATAGCCCAACAGCCAAGGGAATTTCTTAGATGCAGTACCTTACATATCACAATATATTAAACAACAATAAAGAGACAAAATACAAATGGTAATAATAAATTCAAAATAAGTGGCAAAAATGGCCTTACGCAACAAAAGAAATTGGAAAACATTTGGAAACATGCGGACAACTTCCTTTGGGCTCTGTTGGCGATACTTGTAGAAAATGACCCAGTTTTCTTCATCCTTTTTTCCTTTGTAAATTGCCTATTACGGTATTTTTTGGACTCCAGAGTATAAGTCACACCAGCCCAAAGAAAACAAATAAGTTGCACTTTTTGGTGGAAAGTTATTTTATAAAATCAGAGAACGGGAATCGACATTTTATCTTGAAAGTCAAGTTCTAGTAATAACAATAGAAGAGAGAACAATATGAACAGTTCTTTAGATAAACTATAACATAAACAACAGAACAGAACAAGTTTACCAAACTCTCCATCTCACTCCAAATCACTAAATCCATTCAATTCTTCATCCTCTGTGTCACTTCTGAGCAACTGTGTGACCTCCGGAGGTAAACGGAGCGTCACTTCCTCTTCTGTGTAGCTGTCGTCAAACTCAGCATCAGTTCCAGTTAGAATTATTCCGGCCTTTCTGAATCCTGACAGGATGGTTTCAGTTGTCTTTGTTTAATGTTTAAATTTTCAGTGGTACAGAAGTAATGGTGTGATCAACTGACATGATACAGACAGGACAGAGGCTCTTTCTGCAGGAGACATGCGCAGTAAACTGAAGTGACAGTGGTACAGGTGCATGTACAGGAGTAATAGGAGCAGCAGATACTGACACACAAGCCTAGAGAGCCCTCTTGCAGCTGTCAGTGCTAATATACATTTTAATATATAAGTCACACTGGAGTATAAGTCGCAGGAAACACCCAAACCATGAAAAACAGTGTGATTTATAGTCCAAAAAATACGATAATCTGTGTATTATAATTTGTCTAACTTTTTTTTTTTTAAAGTTGTCATTGTAGAGTTCTGTTACTTTCTTCAGATCAACAGTTCCAACCAGCTGCCTGTAAGTGACATGGATTAGAGTCTCGTCCCCTGTGGAAAGCTTTGGCAGGTTGTAAAGACGCCGCAGCTGAATACAGGGTTTTATAGTTTTATCACATGCCCAGTGTCGGTAACTACACTGGAAGTCATCATCCGCATGTTTCCAAACATCATCAACCAGTAACAAGTTATAAAAATATCTCAGCTATAAGATAAGAGGTTGTTAGGAAAATCAAGGTGAAGATTATCTAATAATTGACAAGACATTTGGTTATCTGTGCCATAAGGGTGAGTTGTTGTACAGTTGTAGGGAGTATTATCTGTTACATAAGGGTGAGTTGTTGTACAGTTGTAGGGAGTATTATCTCTTACATAAGGCTGAATTGTTGTACAGTTATAGGGAGTTTTATAGTATGAATATAGTCCTGTATGTTTGAGTGGAGCTGTAGGAGCCTGTTGGAGAATGAGCTCCTCTGTCCCTCTATAGTCTGGTGCAGTGGGTGAGTTGTTGTACAGTTGTAGGGAGTATTATCTGTCCCTCTATAGTCTGATGCAGTGGGTGAGTTGTTGTACAGTTGTAGGGAGTATTATCTGTCCCTCTATATAATCTGGTGCAGTGGATGAGCAGGAATGTTCATGATGGAGAGTGGTTTGTCCAGTCTCCTCGTGTCCCTCACTGTGACAAATGTCTCCAGCTCACAGCCGATCACGTGACCAGCTTTACGGATCAGTTTGTCAATCCGCTCAGTGTCCTTTAGCGTCACTACTTCTGGTCCAAAAAGTCTATGGGACTTTTACTGAGTCATACTAAAATTAATAAAGATTTAAAGATCAGACAGTGAACAGTGAGCTGCAGGTGAATGTGCACACATAAAATAAATACTTCACCAAAGGACATTTCTGTGTTTAGAAAAGTAGAGATTTGTGTCTTGATGCTAACGCTAATTTTTGAGGCATAATAAATATTAAAACAACTCTACAGTACAAACTGAAGTATACATATATACATATAAAATCAATTTGGTAGTCTTGAATTTTATTAATTAGAAGTTTAATAGGCTTTTTATTTCATATTTTATGATTTTAATAAAAGTTTCGCTTTGAGACGCAGAGAGCTAGTAACTTTTATAGAGACTTTTATAGAAGCACATTATTGCTTTAATGATGTTACAAAAGGAGGTGGGGGCAAATAAATGTTTGTCTCTATGGAGATATTAATGCTTTGATTTAAATGGTCCACAGTATGGCATTAATCTAATCTGTCCTGCATTTATTCAACTCGAAGTGTTATTTATGGCTCAAAAATATCTTACAAAGCATTACTGGTAATTCTCACTGTGAGTAGGGTCGCTTCTCCACAAGTGTAAGGTGTAAATTGGCTTGCAAGACTCCATGGAGATTTTTAAGTTTATGGGAATACTGTGGAGCAAAGGTCTCCAGCCTGTAGCTCGGGAGTTACCAGTAGCTCTCCACATCCTTTCAAGTAGCTCACTGAAGGATTTCTGAATTATATGTACTATACTAATAACTACAGTTTAACTAATTAAATTCTTATTGCCATTAGAAATGTATCATTTTCAACTTTGTGCACTAGACGCAGATGTCCCTATTTACCCAGGACAGTCCCTGTTTTGAGCCCTGTGTCCCCTGTCCCAGCAGATTTATACAAAACCACTGATCCAACTGTGATTTGCCCCAGTTTTATACAAGAAATCTCCCTGGTGTCATTACTTTTGACCAATTTGATGCCTGCCAATAGTAAAGAGAAGCATAAATTGTCATTCGTCTAGGTAAAATACAGAAAAGCTGCTTAAGACTGACCAAAACACAAAGAAAATGTGACTACACTGACTCACGTTATTCAGGAATGGGTCAAGTGCAGAACAATTCTCCTTAACTACACACTCGTTTCACAATTTTATTATTACCAACCTCTCTAAACCGGGAACGTCCCAGTTTTTTTAAATTTTGAAAATCTGGTCACCCTATCCTAGGCACATCTCAAGTTACTCATATATCAAGTTACACAGCACCTTTTAAGTAAGAGTACAGTACTGTTACTTCAATAAAAATATTACTGAAACAGGAGTAAAAGTACGCTGCTAGAAAAGTCCTTTGAAAAGTACAATTTCTTTAAAATGTTACTGAACTAACTGCTTCAGCTACCTAACTCTGCTTATGTAAATTATGTCTCAAAAAACAATACTTATACGGAGTCTTTTCTAACAGGCAGGTGTCCAAAGCCATCGGTCAGGCCAGTGAGGACATGAACGCTCTCCTCGCCATCGTCTCAAAGTTCATCCCTCTGCGCATTTTCACCATCTTCAACCTCCTCAAACTCTTCCCCAAACTCTTTGAAAAGTTCAGTGTTCAAAACAAGGGTCGCATCGGTCGCACTCTGGCCACAGAGATGTTTCGCACAGAGGACAGTTATAATGAAGATGTCCTGGACCAGGTGGAGCAGAACCTTCTGGGGGTGCACGGTCCCCACCAGCCCCTGAAAAACGATGAGCACCCGTTTGAGCTCTACCCAATCTTTATGGGTGGTTTGTTAAACTACGGAAACAGAGTCCTGCTTCAACAACTGGGCTGCACCATCCACAACGACACAGTGGCACAGATCACCAAGGCTCTGCGCAAATATCTAGTCAGAGGTGAGGATGTTCTGTTTTTTATGATGTTAAAGGTGCATTGTGTAACTTTTCTAGTGGAAGGTCTGTCAAATGTTTTTTCTCCATTGAGATGTTATTGCTTTGTCAAAAATGTTTCACAGTATGGTATTAAACCTCTCTATCTTCATGGAGACTAAATCCTGCTCACTGGTTCTACTGATATTGGTACAGGTATTTTTGAACTATAAAACCACTTGTAATTGAAATAAATGTAAAGTAGAGCTGTTTAATGTCATACTGTGGAACATTCCAGGCAGAGTGCTGACATATCCATAGAAGCAATCAGGTGACAGACCCTCCACTAGAAAAGTGACACAATGCACCTTTTAAGTGTACTGTTTGGTTGTCCTACTACACGCGGTCCCTTTAATACATACTATGCTACAATCTATTACCGGTACCTTAAAACGGAGGTAGTACTTCTAGACCAGGTGCTCTCTGTCTGTATCCTGTGGCCAGTGGGCTTGAAGACATTTTTTTACATATTTTATTTTATTTATTGTTCATTGATTACTTAGTTTTTTGTTATGTTATGTTTTGGTTTTTTTGCAAATACAAAATATGATTTCTTGAATTAAGCAGTTTGCACAAAAATTTTGATTTATTTTAAAATATATATATAAATTAATAGAAATATATTTTTTATTTTTTAATTTGCAACATACAACAAGCATAAAGACATTAGAAAGGAAAGGATATAACACAGTACAATACAGTACAATACTATACAGTACAATACTATACAGTACAATACGATGCATACAACGCCACAGACGACGTGTATGTGTACATGTGCATATGTGCTATAGAGTGTGTATACTGTATAGAGTGTGGGGTTTCTGTGTCAGTGAATGTAAATGACAAATTTATGTATAGTAATCCGTATAATTGTTTCAACAGTATACTGGAGGGATGAACTTCAATGATAATTGTATATTAGGAACTACATAGTACTATTGAAATAATAATGGTCCATATACACATCTATATAAATACAAGTGGGAAGAGGAAGAGGTGGTGGAACATAGTTATGTTTGTTAATGAGTTGTTCAGATTGGTGTTTAAGTCTTCCATTTATTTGAGTGTCCAAAAAGCCTTACCTTAAATGACAGTGTGAAGTGTATGTGAGGTGAGGTGCAGTAAAAAAAGAAGAGATTTGAGCACATGAGAAGTGGGATAGGTCCTTGTTTTGCCAAATTAGAAAGCTTTTTTATTGATTTGTTTTTTTTTTATTATTTGTTATAATATCCATATTCCATGTGCCTGTGTGTTGTTTCTCAGAGCTGAATAAACCACAGCCCCCTGAGGAGTTGATGGACCTGCTGTTCCTCTTGTACGAGTTCCAGAACCCCAGACTCACAGCAGAGGTGCTCTCCACCATCCGCTCCATCCGCCTCAGCAACATCAGGATGACCTCACTCAAGTGCTATGTGCTCAGCTCTGTGCTGTCCTGCGCACCGCCCAGGTAATGGACTACAAAAGTGTCAATATATTGTGATACAGTATTGTTATTGTGGTTGGCTGTTCCGATACATCACCAAGAATACTTTTTTTGGTTTCTTTTAGTAATTTTTTTTGTGTGACCGCACTACAATTTTGTTGCTTAATGGTAGGAAGGCAATACACTTATTAACTGTTGTGTTGATTAAAATAGAGGTATTTCATATGAACTTTGGACAAGAGGTGGTTTAACAAAGAAATATTGTTGTTAATATGTATTTGGTTCTTAAAAAACGGCAATCTATCACAGAGTATCGTGCCATTTATCAGTTATTGCATGTATCGCCATATCATGATAATATAGTATCATGAGCCATGTATCGAGTATTGTATTGAATCATGAGGGACCCTGCGATTCCAAAATGAAATTAAATTTGATAATAAGGCTCGATATTTTACAAGTTTCAATACCACAATAGTAAAAAAATTTTAGACAATAGAATGTAACTTCCAACACAAAATAAGTTTCTTTGATATTATCATGTGGTCTTACTATTATCCCTTTTTCTAAACAGAATGCTTGACCCATCCTTGTTATATTTTCACATTCCGTAGCGTGATACTACCTTCTAACTCACTGACAACATGACATAGCATATGCAATGAAAACAGTGTCAGCAGCAAAAGCCTCTGATTCACTGGTTTATTACTTGGAGTTGGGACTGGACTGCCCATGTGTCCTTTGTATTTGTAAAATAATAACAACATTACTGTCCTGAACTGGACAGACAAGTTTTTGTAGCTGTAGTTTTGTGTGACCTTTCATGTTGTAAGTCCTTGGCTTCTGAATGAATATGATCAAGAGGCTCAATTGATTGTATTTTTGTGAGCTATGGACTGAAGTAATAGTGAAATGTAGAAAATGCTATTTTAATATGTATTTTATAAGATGAAATGTGTGATTTGTCAATATCGATTGCTTTGCTTTAATGTGGTGTGTGTCTGTGTGTGTGTCTGTGTCTGTCCACTCTCAGACACAGACAGACACAGTGTGGTTCTTATTGTTGACTATAATTACATTGTATAATTTCTGTAACTCAGGGACTGCAGATGGAAATTTGCTAGAACAATGAGTAGTAGATGTAGGTGTAGTGCTAGTATTAAAAAAAAAACTTTTTTGAGTGAATCATATTCAACAGAATGTGATGTAATGTACAAATAATAGTATGAAATACTAAAGTAGTTAGTTTGTACATTAACCAAAATTGAGTCTTATGAGCTTTAAGACATATTGGAATATTGTTATCTTCTCTTTCATTCACATATGTTTGAACAACTATTATTAGTCTCCAAAAGCTCCATCTCCAAAGCTCAAAATGCTCTGTCCCACATTGTGATATCATGAAGTGACAGTGTTGAAGTTAACAGCCACTTTTTACTTTTAGTTCAGCAGAGATCGGTGATTCCAGGGTTGAAATTATCCAAATGATTCTAGAAGCTGTGTGGAGTTTGTAAACACAGGGCACTTCCTGTATTACCACATGGCATCACAAGGTGGGACAAAGTGTTTTCTGGTTGAGAAGAACAAAATTTGCAGGATCTGTGTGACTGAAACAACACAAAACTCCATGTATGTTTTGTGACGAGGAAACAACATTATAGCATAGGCAAGAGGATACTGTTATATGGACCCAGTAAAATATAATTCCACAACATCCTATTCTTTATGTCCGTATTTGGACACCTTTACTTGAATATAATTTACGGTTATATAGTATTTAATAATAGCTATTTTAAATTTAAAAATATGTCTTGTTTATGTTGATGAAATCATGATTGAATTAATGTATAGATTTTTTATAAGAAAACAAAAAAATAATAAATAAATAATGAACAAAAATGTGATGAATTAGTTTTGCCATATTTCCCAGCCTTAAATAAAGTCATACTGTGTTCACTCAGCCCTCTTGCACTTTACCTCTACACAAATTTCTTTGGCTAATCCCTAAAGTGCCTCTGCACATGTGCTGCACTGAATGTGTCTAAACCTGTTCTGTGCTCTTGGGTTTTGTGCAGTGATTTCATGCATGTTCATAATGACGGTCATTACTCTTGACTTCTGTTTATTGCAGTTACCATCTGGAGGTGTTGGACCTGTCTTCCTGTTTGCTGACTCCTGACATGTTAAGGATTCTGTTACCTGCCTTCAGACACACGCACCACCTCAAGTAAGAGTTACTGCTGTTACTAATACTAATACTGCTCCTGCTGCAGTGTGTGGTTTGAAGTGAGGAACTAAAAGATGGTCTTATTATGAATTGTAAAACAAAGTAGGCAGTTTTACAACTGCACTTTAGATTCATTTCATTCATTCATTCATTAAATTAATGTTGGCATTTCTCCATGAGGAGACAAAATAAAAGAGAACCCGAAACCAGTTAAACTGCATGACATTCCTATTGCCATGATGCATCTTGTTACCAGATTTGGTTTGGCTACGCCAGTGTTTTATCACTCAAGTTTGAGTGGAAAAACAAACAAAAAAAAGTTCTCTCCTTGCGACTAATAGGCCCGCTTCTGGTGCTCATCTAATTAAAAAGCAAAATCAATATTGAAGTTCCACCATTAACTGTCAAAAGGTAAAGTAAAGTAAAGCCCTGATGGATACTTGGGGCATTACAGCCAGATAGTTAAAAACAAAATCTACATCCATTGTCAGTTTTTCATTGTTTATAGAACATTACAGTACAGAATCCCTTGTGCGTCTTGACTTTTTAAACTGTACTACTCTAAATAATAATAAGACTTTTGCATTACTTAAGCTGTGTGTATTTTGTGCCTCACTAACCTTTAATAACAGTGCATGATGTGATGTGTGTTGTGTTTGAAGCCTGCAGTTTAACAGCCTGGGCCCTGAGTCGTGTCTGCTGCTGAGGGACCTGCTGAGAGACCCCAAGAGCTGCATTAAGACTCTGGAGTAAGGAGCACACTTTTAAGATTTCAGGGGAATATGTACATTAGGTTATGGTAACGGTTACAAAGGAGGAGGAGGAGGAGGAGGAGATTTGGTCAGTAGCACTTTACCAATCAGCAGTAACATAGTATGAAAATACAGCAGGCTAATTACTTTAAAGTTTATTTTATTGTCCCTGTAGGAAAATGTGTCTTCTGTTATTTGACCCAGTTAAAAGTGACAACATAAATATGAACATATATGTAATACTATTGCAGTAATAATATTGGTTCATTTCCATAATATTTCATTTTGAACTAGCCATTTTGATCATAGTCTAGTGAAACATTTGTAATTACACGTGAATTTTTTTCTTTTTTTAATCACTTACTGATTTTCATTTGAATGTTTAATATTTAATAATTCATAATGACAAATAGCTGCTGAGGCTAGTGTAAAATTGTTACTCAAAATGATGAGTTTTGATCTGACTTAACCCTGTCTTCCTCCAGACTGTGTGATAACCCGATACTCGACGCCGGTGCTGTGTCTCTTTTGGAAGCGTTGCCTGAAAACCAGTCTCTGCGTCACCTGTCCCTGATGCACACGGGGCTGGCAGATGGGGGCGCTGTGGAGCTTGCTCAGGCCCTGCACACACACAGCAGTCTGGAGGAGCTCAACGTGGCCTACAACAACATAGGGGACAACGCGGCACTCAGCCTCGTGGACACCTGCCGAGAGCACCCTACCATCAATACACTGCAGTGAGTGTGATGCTAACTGTAGGGCACTGCTCTGTCTGAAGCTCTGTTAACTAAATTAGTTATCTTTTAGTTAAAATCAAACTCCTAAATGTGCTGTTTAAATCCATTTTGTATTTTTTTTTCTTACTACCACTTACCATGCACACATTAGCAGACACAGAAACATTTTAACATGATCTGAAAACTGTACGATGTGAGAAATGTTGTAATTTTCTGTAATTATGTTTTGTATTACAGTAAATATATTATTGCAATATTCTAAAATACTTTTGGTTAAATACCTTCAGTTAATATAAAACAAAAAATGCACATGCCTTCGGACTGTGTCAAAATGAAAGCTTAACAAAGACTAAGCCAAGACTAATGTACCAAGACTAATGTAGAAAGTCATGAATCAAATTTCCCTTTTAGTCTATTTCACTTTCTAAAATCATTGTGTAAAATGGAGAACTTTGTGCTGTTGCAATTTATTATTTCCTTCATACGACTAAACTTTATCTATCCACAAGGGAAATGACTTGGACACAGTAGCTCACATATCACAATATATTATAATAACAACAAAAGAAGCAAAAAATATAAATGGTGATACATTCTAAATGAGTAGCAAAAAATATAGCAAGAGAGTGGTGTTAAATAAGGTGTAATTATAGAAGTGTATATGTACAAGTGCAAATAAAATAGCTTAGTTTGCCTAGTTTCTTTGGTCAGTTGACATAATGAGTGACTGATTTCACAAAACACTTCAGTTATTGTACAGACCAAAGGGGTTTAGACTAAAGTTTGACACTTAATTTGACCCTAACCCTCTTAACATACAGATTAGAATACAATACAAGACAGCAGAAAATCTATGTGCAGGCAAAGAGGAGTATAAGTATAGAATGTATGGATATTTTTCGGTATACACGCATAGCAGAGTTCCCGGGGTGGATTAAAAAGTCTTAAAAGTATTGAATTTATGAATCAGGTCCTTTTTAAAAGACTTGAAAAAGTCTTGAATTTTTATTTCTGGGTCTCAAAATGTCAACCACCAATATGTGGTTAAATAACGTAGCCTAAAGAAAGAGTGGCAGAACCAATAATTGAGAGCCCTTGGCCAAAATCCTCCGAACATGTCACTGAAGATCACAGCACCACAAGCAACAAGTTCAGCAGAAGAAGAAGAAAATCTCAGCAGAACACAAAGTTTGATTAACACAGTTGTGTTGGTTTTTAATATTGGTTTTACCCATTTCATGCTGGGGTTATGAGGAAGAGTTTCTACTCCCCATATTCCTTGAACACAAATTCAAGGATTTTGTTTTTCTTTGCCAGTAGGTCTATGAAATAGGCTGTGAAATAGGTATTTATAAGTTTTTATATAAATGGTCTTAAAAAGGTTGAAAGACTTGGATTTAGCTTGAAGAAACCTGTAGGAACCCTGACATACACTCATACAGTTGTCCTTTTTATCTTAGTTCATCCAGCCGTACTAACACGTGTCCTTGTGTGCGCAGCTTGTACCTGAACCCTCTGACTGATGTGGGGAAGCGTTCCTTGTACGTACGCGGGGACGCACTTAAAAGTGGGCGTAAAGTCCGAGTCCTGGCCTCGGTCACAGAGGGGTCCGACCTGTCCGAGGACTGGCACCCCATCCTCAGCGTGATCCGAGAAAATGCAAAGACCTGGGACCGAGAGAGGGTCAAGCAGCAGCTCAGGGTAAAATATAAGTAATCTGTTTAAATGATCCTATAATGACATAAGTACAGTTATTCTTTTGTTGAAATATTTACCTGATACATTATAGGCATTTAAAATTGTATTATGTTTAAAGGTGCATTGTGTAACTTTTCTGTGGAGGGTCTGTCAGATGCTTTTCTTCATGGAAATATTATTGTTTTGTCTGGAATGTTTCACAGTATGGTATTAAACTTTTCTATTTTCATGGAGACCAAACCAGACCAAGTTACAGGTCAGATCTGTGGAGAGGCAACCCCATAACCCTCACAGTGCCTGTTTTTCTAGGTATTTTTGAGCTTTAAAACCACCTGCAATTGAATAAATATAAGATAGAGCTGTTTAATGTCATACTGTGGAACATTCCAGTCAAAGCAATGGCATACAGTCCCTGATGTGCTGAGGTTCTTTTTATACACACCCACTAATTGATTGATCAGTAACTGATCACAGGAGAGGCTGTAATCTAGGATTGGGTGCATCATATGACAAGGCGACAAAACTTTTGTCTTGCCAAAATCTGACCTTTCTGTGTTCATTAAATGATCAATCTTTCTTCAGTGAAGCAAATTAATTTTAGTATATTGAGCATAATTTGGGAGGGTTTTAGCTTTCATATGAGACATTTCTAAAACCAATCGATTAATTTAAAGTCAGGTTATAAGCTTTTGTTTCTACAAAATGGATAAGCAACAAGACTTTTGTCAGGGACTGTATTCATAGAAACAAGTAGGGATGGACCACCAACCGAAAAGTTACATACCTTTATTGAAATGACTTTCATACCAAACATGAGTCTTCTTCTGTGTGATTTTTAGGCTTTCTTGCGTGATCTGGAGTGGGGCCGACAGCAGCAGCCGACTTTCTGGAAAAGACTTCACTTCCGGCGCGTGGAGAGGGGAATCCGAGAGACTCTGAAAATGTTGGAAAAAGATGACGTGTCCCATGTGTGCGAAGCGTGCAACCAACCACAAGCAAAATAACTTAAACTGATACGAAACAATTACTGTTCAAGGTGCATTGTGTAGCTTTTCTGGTGGAGGGTCTGTCAAATGCTTATCCTCATGGAGATCTTATTACTTTGTCCGGAATGTTTCACAGTATGGCATTGAACCTTTCTGTCGTCATGGAGACAAAACCTGACCAAGTTACAGGTCAGATCTATGGGGAGGCGACCCCGCACAGTCAGAACACCTGTTTTTCTAGGTATTTTTGAGCTATAAAACCAAATGTAATTGAAAAAGTGTAAGGTAGAGCTGTTTAATGTCATACTGTGGAACATTCCAGGCAGAGCAATGACATCTCCATAGAAACATGCAGGTGAAAGACCCTCAACCAAAAAGTTACACAATGCACCTTTAATAAGGTTAGGGCGTGTTTTTAGGATGTTTAGGGAGACACGGGTAACACATAGGAAGTATTAGACCATAATCTGTGCAATAATATTTTTTTGTAATTTATGGAGCTCGACAGGGATCACCCACTTTCCGGTTCCAGATCTAAATATTTCGTTCATTTTTCTGTTGACTTTCTGAAAAAAAAAAGTAATAATAATAAAGTGTGAAAGCTTGCTCAGGTCTAATCAGTGACGTGGTAACTAATGACCATAAGACCTATTTAAAATCTGTTTCTGAAATGTTATAAACTGCGCAGTTATTAAATTATTTTGCAGAATCTTTTAACTTAAAACAAAAGTATTCTGGATATTAGTTTACCACATAGCTGCTTAATCTCCGCGATGTCTTTGAAGTCTTAATATTTGAAATCTATGGGAAAATGAATGGGTTTTTGACTTCTTGAACCAGAGCAGGTGGTCACTGTGCAGCTCCATTAAAAGCAATATTTAACTGTAGGTCTATGTTTTTTATGATGTCTTTAATATGAACAAATAGTGAATAAGCAGCTGTAAGAGGCATCTTCCAGCACTTTTGAGACACAAGGGACAAACTAAAACTACCATCAAAGAAACTATGCAAAAATATATGATGTGATTAATTCAAGGAAATCTAGAAGTCGCGGTTACTGGGTTTGGGCTGTGGAATGAGTCATGGTGCTTAAAGTGCAATATGTAACTTTTCTAATGGAGAGTCTGCCACCTGTTTAACTCAATGTAGATGTTATTGCATTACCTAAAATATTCCGCGGTATGGTTCATGAAAACAAAAACGTGACAACACCAGACCGAGCGAAAAGGTCATTTGTGAAAAAAACAAGTTTTTTAAGGAAATGCAAATATCCGTAACTAAGTAAATGCAAGAGAGAGTAACTATAGCAGACGTCCCCAATCCCCGGGCCAGGGACCGGTACCAGGCCATGAAAGTGCGAACCCTCGCTTCCATACACCCATGCGCCACGTCTCTAAACCAGGTCTAAAACCAGGACTAAAATCAGTATTTAACCTGGACTAAAACCTGAACTAAAACCAGTCCGCAAAGTATTGTTGGACATAAAACCGGTCTGTAGCGCAAAAGGTTGGGGACCGCTGAACTGTAGAACATTTCGGGCTGAGCAACAATATTTCCATAGAAACAAGCAGGTGGCGGACCCTCCTCCGGAAAAATGACAAAGGGCACTGTAATGTCCTTCCAAAACACAAAAACACTTTTAAATATGCTCAGATTGATATGAATGTTTTTGGAAATAGCTGTAAGCATTGATATTTTGGCTTTTGAAATGAAACTTGTAAATGCTGTTCAGATCTGTGCGGATAAACGTACTCCAGTAATGTGATCATGATCTGATTTCTGGAGACAGTTGTCAAGAGGTGTCAAACTGGCTTGTAAATGAGGCCTGTGCATGAGAGTAAACGACTGTAATATTCACAAGAGGGCGCTGTACACTCCCTTTTCCAGGTATCAAGCTGCAGAAATAAGAAGCTCGCTAAAAACAAGTATTGAATCTGCCATTTGAAATTAATATTTGTGCCTTTATTTACTCAAACAGGCCTAATTTCCTGTTAGTTACTAATGAATTAACTTCCAGTAAGCAAACTAAACCAATGCATACAGAAAATGCCACAATGCCACTAGCTGTACACAATGTAGTTCAAATGGAGCTGATAAAGAACAATGGGCTGTCTGACAACCCTTGTGAATCATTTTTGCACGTTTTAGAAACATATCATGTATTAATATTTTACATTCAAGGTCTGTACATGTCATTTTGTCTTGTTTCTGTCTGCTTCTCCTTCTGAACTCATGGATTCTCGGACTTTTAGCAAATTAAGGAATATCAAAAGTGGAGCACAGTTTTCTTAAATGTACTGCATGTCTGTGGAACGAATGAAAAAATGATGTGCCTTGTCTTGTTAAGTGCTGTTTGAAAATTAAATGTAACTCTGTGGTCCCCGTTTTGGTCCTTTGTTTTCTGATCGGTGTTAAAATGTTTTTTCCTCATCACAAACAGACACAGAGTTGTGTTTTGTTTCATTCACACATTTTTAACACAAACCCTGCAGATTTAGGCTCGGATCTTCTGTCAACACAAAACACTCCAACTTGTGATGTCACGTGGTAATACAGGAAGTGCTCCACTGTGTTTTTAACTCCATTAGAATAATTTGGTTCATTTCAGCTTTGAAATTTCCAATCTCTAGTGAACTAAAGGGCAAAAGTAACAGTTGACTTGAAAACTAAGGCTACACAACATCACAAGGTGGAACAGAGCATTTTGAGCTTTGGAGATGTAGAAAAACTAATAATAAAGGATTACTCAAACCTTTGGGAATGAAACAAAACAACTCTGTGTATATTTGTGAGGAGGTAACAGCTTTCTGACATGACGTAAAGCTCACATGAGTCAATTTTAGTACCACACTTTAAGAAACAATGATGTACTGAACTTTTGTAAATGCTGTATGAATCAGAGGCCCAAAACTGGAGGGGCCCCAAACCAATTTGCCCTCTGTGCCACTAATGACAGAGGCCTCAGAGCAATTTGATTTTCTCTTAATATAACTTTTAAACAGTAATCATAAGAAAAATAATAAGTAGTCATATGTAATGGATGTAAACAAAAATTTAATTGTACTAGCAAAAAAAAACAAAAAAAACTTTCAGTTCTGGTTATCTAGTAGGCTACCTGAATAATAAGACAAGTTTCCAATCCACCACAACCCAAATAAACAGATGTGCATGTACAAGAACAATGGGGAAAAATAGACATTAAATATGAATAAAAAATATAGTTGAAAGCAGCAATACGTAGGCCTTGCAGCGGCAGAAGAATAGGCAAGAGTAGGTTACTCATCTTGGCCCAAAGATTCCAACGACACCTCATTTGTGAAAATCAGACAAAAGGGTCAATAGTTATAAGCATGAATGCATGTCCAACTTTGACCTGTTGGTGGCGCTAGATCTCCTGACCTATTGATCCCAAATTGGCTGTGAGGGACCATGAGCCTGTCCTGAACCAATAATAATATCGGCTTCTAAAACAATGGAGTCCTGCAGCTACGCAAGGCCTCCAATTATTAATAAACTATAAATACGTATTTCCAGTCTCAAATAGGCTAAGGCTACTTTGAGGAGATTTTTCCTTTCTGGTTTTGATATCCCCACCTCTGTGAAATAGTTTTAATATCTGGTGCGGACAAGGACCTCATAGTTTATTAACGCAACTCCACTGATATTGCTTAAAATCTTACAAAATATCCCCCGTTTTTCCATCAAATCGCACATAGCCAATATATTGGACCGTGGGTGACGAATCATTTGTTAGAAAATAATTCACTTATTTACACTTAATTATTTATTATAAAGGATTAACTGAAGAATGACAAATAAAATGATTTACAACAGATAAACAATGACAATGTGGTGGCTTATTGTGCACCTAGACTAGTGGGTAAAGGTGTAAAGTCATTTTATGGTACGTCAGTTTGGAACCAAGCCTTAGGGCAGGGGTGTCAAACTCATTTTGGTCCGGGGGCCGTATCCAACCAAGTTTGATCCCAAAGGGGCCAGATCAGAAAACTCATGGCATATAAACCCCAAAAATAACAATAAGTTCAAATATTTGTACAGAGAAACGCAAATCTATTACAGAAATCTTTTTTAATTGATGAACTCTTTCTTTTACATAATATTACAATATTATGAACAACCTGAAACTTTAAGAAAAATTCTATTTCAACACAATGTGTTAACATGAACTTGTATGCAAATAGGAATAAGTCAGTTTTTCTTGGAAAATCCTGCACTCAGCATCCACTTTTCTTATTTTTAACATTTTGCTGATGAGAGTGTCACAGTCAACAGTCGAAACGATCGTTCTTTAAGAGTGTTTGGAAAGAGCCAAGTGTTCTTTTGTGCTGCTCTGGTGGGAGGGGCCACGTACAGAGGCTCTGGAGACGCTGCTATGCTCAGCACCACTGAAAATTACCAATATTTTAATAGAAAATATAATTCAAATATTTAAATAGAAAATCAGCTGAGGGCCACATTAAAGGTCTTGGAGGGCTGGATCTGGCCCCGGGGCCGTATGTTTGACAACTGTGTCTTAGGGCTATAATTTTTTCCCCAAATAATTCATAAAAATATAAAAAGAAAAATGGTTTGGGATATTTTTGTCTTAAATTGTACTATCCATAAGAGTACAAATATGAAATAAAAAATGTCCAAGACACGATTGAGGAGTAGGCTATATGCCACTCACAAGTCATCCTGCTTTACATCAGCGCAGGGGCCGTTTGAATAACACAGGATTATATTGTTCTTCATATAGGCTAAATATCTCATTAATATCTAACCTTTAGGCTACACGTAAAACGACGCATGGTCCATTCCTAATTGAATGATTATCCTCTGAAAATGAATTGCCTGTTAGGCTATGGAGGTCAAATTATTACAGCAAAGCGCCTACCCTTGCATTTGTCAAATATCTGATCAGATAAAAGACAAGTCAGAGGAGTAAAGACGTACGGTCAGGAGGTGCGTCGTGCGTCGGGGCCATAGCAACAGAACGTCTGGACGCACTATATAAGCGGCTGCGCGCGCTCACTTCTTCCCTTCTCACCTGAGAAACCTCTTGAACGCTCTGCTCACGCTTGTACGTAACTTTGGTATTCATCTCTTATTAGCTCATCAGCGGTTATAAAACATTGTCACAACACTCACTAACTGTTTTTTTAACTCTTTTTGAAGGTTTGAAAACGCTCCAAATCGCGACTGTACTTCGCCATGGCTGCCTGGCTGTACGACCGCTTCGCCTACATGCCCGACCTCCCGGAGCTCGTCCCTGGAGGTAAGATAAATCAAATAACATTCAAACATGATCGTGATGATAAATATTCATAACATAGTCCATATAGTTAATATAAGAAGTTTTGTCCACATGGGTGTAAGGTTTGGCTAACACAGGTTTATGAAAGTTGATAGTTTGTCACGTTTACTCAACGATTTCATTTTGGGTCATGATAGCTCGTGAAACTGCTCTAAATGTATCAACACGAGTGCGTAGTGAAAAGTTATCGTCACATTTATAGGAAATAGTTTGTCTTGTATTTTCTGAGCGTCGAAATTCATCAGGGTTGAGCCATGCTAGCCATGCTAAATTGGAATCATTAAAAAATGGACATTTGATCTCCATAGAAACTCCGGTGTTTGGTTGTAATTTGAGCGTTCCATTTGAGGTTTGGTTTAGGAGGAGACTCAAATCACTGCAAGAAAACCTATAGCACCCACCATATAGCCTATAAACTATAAAAACATGCTTAATTAAAGGGTTCAACTAATAATCCATAACTATATTAATAATTATGAACTCATTTATCAAAGTATCAAAACCAAGAACCCAGCAAAATATACTGTAGCCTAATGTTTGGTTATATTCTTTAAATTACAATTATGCAGTTAGAATATTATCCAAAATGCAATGCAGCCTACTCAAGTATGACACAAGTCCAAGGAGAAATTCACAGTAAGAATGGTGTGTTCTTAGCCCTGTACGTCTTTACGTGCCGTCCACCTGTAGTAAGCGTAATCGTGTGCAATGCTGCAACATAATGTGAGATTTAGGAGGAACAATTCACCCAAGTCACTTGATTTAATTTGTCCATATGCTGCACTGTAGATAATACGTAGTTATAGCTACTTATTGTACAAATAATATAGTATACTCAAGTCACTTTATCTACAGTTTATTCTTGTCCATCTGCTGCACTGTTCATAACTACAGTCAGAGCCACATATTGTGCAGTTTTGTAGCCTTATAGCTTTACTCTGCTGACAGTGTTGTGTCTATTGTATTTCTTTATAGTATCATTTATCTTGATTTTGATGGCATGTTCCTGTTTTCCTTCTGTTCTTGAGCCATGTGTTGCAGTAATGACGATATCATACACAACCAAATGTATTCAGCCAGTCTGTATTGCACCATTTGGAATACACCATAATAGATGTAACAGTAAAATTAGGCCATTTGAACTGATCAGAAGCAATTCATAAACCTACAGTTAGTTTAGACTCAAAAACAAGTTTTGTTTCAGTTAATATATTGTATGACAGAATTTGGTAGTTGCTTAAAACAAATTTTTCATTCAACAGTGAATTCATTTCTGAATAAACTAAGAGGGACAACCTGGATTTTTTTTTTTTTTTAATGACAAATGATTAACATGATCACTATAGAATAATTTTGCTTTGGTTGTAATATAAAAAAGCACTTCTCCCCTATGGACACATTAAAAGAAGTATGGAGGATGATTTTTTACATCAGATTTTGAATTTTAAATACCATTTCTTACTTAGAATTTTTTTAACTCTTAAAAACATCTTTGAATTTTTTTTAAATTCTATTTCAGTTGATGAAATTATATAATATATATAGATATTGAGATAGATAGATAGATCTTGTAATGGTTTACTATAAATAGTTCTCCCGCTTCAAAACACATAGTCCAGAATTTTTTATTTATTTTTTTAAACGAACATAACTGGCTTCTACACTCTTATCTTTAGATAATATCTAATTATGTAAAGATAAGAGTGCTTGTCATGACTAAGAATTCAAGTGGCCTGTTGAGAAAATTTCTTTTAGATGTGGTGCTTTTCCATTTGAGTTTTGGAAAGATTTCACAGATGTCTTGATTAATGGTACACAAAGCAAATTCTAGTTTGACTTATTTGTATTTACATTTTTAATTATGCTATTGTGCACTTTACTATCCACCTACCATCTATTTGCCATGGTTTCATTTCGTGTTAAATACCGGTACTAATAAACAGCACACTTGTTACATGGGCCTTACTGAACTGTTGACAAACTTGGTACAATATACTTGTAATAAAAGTATAGAAGTAACCCATTTTGTATTTGCTTTTTTTTTTAAGTCCAACCTAACATTGTTAATTTAATACTGATTCAAAATTGTTGTATTTTTATATAAGATTTATTGTTTAAATGAACATAATATTGTTGAAATTCCAAAACAGTATTGTTAATTGGTAAACGAGAGCTTTGAGTAGTCTTGAAGCAATATTTTTACTTTGGATTTAATTAACATTATTGCTTTGACTTTAGTAATAACCTGTTGCAGTTAACTGACAAAGTCTTTAACATTAAAATAGGCTTGTGTGGAATGAGTTGACAAAACATTTTTAATTAAATCCAACATCTCATTTCTTAGAGTGTAGTTCATTAGTGGTCCAAACATAGTACAGTTTGCAGTGGTCCATAAACGCTTTTCACAACTCTGAGAAACCATGGCGGAATGGCGGAAAATCCGGTATTGTGGGAAATGACGTCATAAGGTTTGGTCAACTCGTCTTGGCCCAAGTATTCCAACGACACCTCATTTGTGAAAATCAGACAAAAGGGTCAGTAGTTATAAGCATGAATGCATGTCCAACTTTGACCTGCTGGTGGCGCTAGATCTCTTGACCTATTGACTCCAAATTGGCTGTGACGGACCATGAGCCTGTCCTGAACCAGTGTGCAAAATTTCATAACTTTTTACTAAGGCATTCTATGGGCTGCCATAAACACCCCAGACATATATTTTATTAAATTATTTTGTTACAGCGCTACAGTTTTGTTGTTTGTTTAGAGGAAGGAAACTCGTTTATGCAACACATTTGACATTTTCACAGTTTTGATGATTAAAATGTTTGTTTTATATGAACTTTGCACAAAACAACAAAGAATTTTTAACAAAGACTTTTAGTATCACAGCCATGATTTAGCCTTTATTTTTATTGAACTGTATCGAATCACTTTGTAATATATCGTATAAAATCGAAAGCACACTGTATCGAGATATGTATTGTATCGTGACCTATGTGTCAAGGTATGTATCGTATCGGCAACTTCTTAATGATACCCAGCCCTAATAAATGTATATATATAGAAAAAAAATCTAACCAAAAATCTGTGTTATAATGAAGGCCCACAAATTGCTGACTGCCTTAAATACAGGATCTTAGAAGTAGATTTACCACTTCACCAAATGTCTGTACACCTGCCTATGACCATGCAACCCTTTGTAACGTAGGTTTTGGTGCCCCCTAGTGGAAGTTAAAGCATAATACATCATAGTTAGGGCTTCAAATGACCTTTATCTTGCAATTATGTATCACATTTTGTTGTTGGTGTCTTGTGTCTTCAGAGTAACACTGCTTACTTCACATTTCCTGTATGTGGTGGATGGGAGTAAATCGTGAAGTACCATCTGTTCTACATGAGTGCAGTTTTGAACTAAATGTGGGGTACATTTGAAGTACATCTTCCATCTTTGAGGTAAGTTGGCTGTACTGAGCTGGACATTTATTTGTTTATTTATTGGATTAGGAACTTGTTCTACCACCTGATTGTCTCTTTTTTAAACCTATGTATACATGGGTACGAGTTAGACCTGTGAGGAGGCAAGCTCTGCACTCTGATGAAGAATTGATCTAAAGAATGCTGCTTTTGTAACTTAGTAAAATGCAAGATAGATACGGCAGACCATCCACTAGAAAAAGTACATAGTACACTTTTAAAGGGCCCATATTACGCTATTTTTTGATCTGTTATAACGTTTACTCATCACAAACAAAACCTGGAGTTGAGTTTTGTTTCATTCACACATGTTTAACACACAAACCCTGCATATTTAAGATGAGTTCTCTCAAACTAAAAACTCTTTTCCACCTTGTGATGTCATGTGGTAATAATAGGAAATGCTCAACTGTGTTTTTAAACTCCACACACCTTCACTAGAATCGTTTGGATGATTTCAGCCCTTGCCAATTTCTGCTAGGGATGTAACGATATCCAATTTTCTCGATACGATATTTTCACGATATGCAGCTCACAGTACGATATTTATTGGGATATTTTATGCAGGTTAACAAAATTGTGAATATGCTGCTTTTGTCTTGTCATAATCCAAATAAATAAGAATTAAAAGTGCTTAATAACTGTTTTTTGTTATTTCAGCATGTACACTGGACTGAAACAGAGCAAAGGATCATAGTCTATATTGTCCCCTCTGCTTTTTAGTTATTGCTGCACCACAACAATGAATTTAAGCAAATAAACTTGTGATTTGATATATTTTGAACGGCCACCATATTATTGAGACTTTTGACGATACGATATCACGATGTTTTGGTTATTGTTACATCTGTAATCTCTACTGAACTAAAGGTAATCGGAGCTGTTAACTTGAAAGCTACCACTACACAGTTTTGGGAGTAACGCATTGTAAAAGTAACAAATTACTATATCCATTGCTTTTTACTTTAACGGCATAATGTGGCATTATAGGTGTAAAAAATGTCATAGTTGACTCAGTACAAATGTCTGTAAAGTGTGTTACAATGCTATTTTTAACCTACATTGAAGTGGTGGCTTTTCCGGTTTTCTTCATACAAATTAGCTAAAATCATATCGGGCTAATCGCAGCAGTTGCCCAATCCACGGGCTCGGGTTCTCAGGGGTGGTCCTAGATTCCAAGTCCCAGTCCAAGTCCTGGTTTGGTCCTGGTTTGGTCCTGGTTTAGACCTGGTTTAGACCTGGTTTAGTCCTAGTTTAGACCTGGTTTAGTTCTGGTTCAGTCCTCCTGGTTCAGCTCTGGCTTAGTCCTGGTTTAGACCTGACTTAGTCCTGGTTTAGACCTGGTTCAGTCCTAGTTTAGACCTGGTTTAGTCCTGGTTCAGTCCATAAATGGCACAAAAGTTGGGCATCTTCGCAGTTATTTTGGTCAGAGTAACTTAAATGTGCTGCAGTAGTCGTGTAATGTCTTACATTACAATATTACTGCATTGAAAATGTAACAAATTACTTTGAAATGACAGTAACAAGTAATGAATAACGCATTACAGTTTTGAAGTAAGTTGCCCAACAGTGCCACTTCATGACATCACAAGGTGAAACAGAGCATTTGGAGCTTTGGAGATGCAGACAGACTAATAATAAAGGGTAACTCAGACTTGTGTGAATGAAACAAAACACAACTCCGGGTTTGTTTTTGATGAGGTAATATAATATTTCTCAAAACTAAAGACGAGCTCATTTCCTGCAGTGTTTGTGTGTGTGTGTGTTTCCTAAACAAACAGGAGGCGAGGAGGAGGAGGAGGGGGAGGAGGTATTTCAGGTTGAGTGCGTGTGGACACTTTTATTAACCACTGTCAATGTTTAACTGTTTCTTTATGGTCCTTGCAGGAGTGGACCTTGTGCTGCAGCAAGACGCCAGCATGAAGACTCACGCAGGTAAAACTAAAACACATTTTGCTTTTAAATCCACTGTTTCTGCTTAGTTTTGATGAGAATTTCTTGCATTGCTACATAAATACAGTAGACAGTAGACGTGCAGATACAAACTTCACAAAAAACCTATGACCAGACTAGTTATATTCTTTGCAAACTATCTTTTATTCAAGTCTTAAATTGGACTCTTGGGCTTTTTGCCATGTTCTAATGTTATCTCCTTAAAAACAGACCTGGGGTTGTGTTTTGTTTCATTCACACATAATTAATCATCTTTCTACATCTACAAAGCTCAAAATGTTCTGTTCCAACTTGTGATATCATGACGCAGTAGTTTACAAGTTAACAGCTACCTTTTAACATTTGGTCTGTAGAGATTGGCAGTTCCAGGACTGAAATTATCCAAATGATTTTAGTGAAGGTGTGTGGAGTTTAGGGAAGAGCTGAGCCTAATATATGCAGGATTTGTGTGTTAAATATGTATGAATGGAATGAAACAAAACACACACTCTGGATATGTTTTTAATGAGGAAACAACATTACAACATAAATTAGAATAGTGTAATATGGGCCCTTTAAGCAGTTCTGTTCCCAGTATTGAAACTGTATATTAGATGTGAGAACTCCTCAAAATAATGCAGTTTCAAATGAGATAAATATAAATAAGCTCCCTGGTTACATCGGTCTTATTTTGTCTTAATGTAGATCTATGTACACACCAGTCAAAAGTTTTAGAACCCCACACTTTTCCCATTTTTTTTAACTAAAAATTATTCAGTTTATTGTGTCATTGCACTCTGAACAAATTAACAAATTTGAGTTAAAAAAGAAACCATGGAATCAATGTATAGACCAAAACATATTCTAAACTGTTGATTCATGAAAGTGTCCACCTTTGTCAGATATAACAGCTGAACACACCCGAGGATTGTTCTTTTTACAACAGAAATCAAATATTGTTCATAAAGTTCTTCCCAAGTCTGTTGCAGAAGTTCCATAAATGTGTGGCACTTGTAGGTTGCTTCACTCTTCTATCCAGTTCATCCCAAACCAGCTCGGTTTAAGTCTGGACACTGTGCTGGACACTCCATGTTTTCAAGCTTCACCATCTTGTTCTTTTTCCCTGAGGTGGTTTTGGCAGAGCTTGGACTTGTGTTTTGTATCTTTTATCTTTTACCTCTGACTGTTCTGTTTTTACCTTTGTCCCATTTCAAGCTCTTCACTGGACTTGCACGACTTGATTTGCAATAAATAACTGGATAAACAAGGATGTTCTAAAACTTGACCATTAGTGTACATAAAAGGAAAAGCTTTTGAAAATAATACAATGCTTTGCTTGTTGTTTTGTTTTATTGTTTTTGTTTTTTGTTTTGTTTTTGTCTGATAAATGCTCTCTTAAACAATCTTAAACAAAAGGAAGCACTACATATTTATTTTTTTCTTCTTAAAGGTGCACTGCTTAACATTTCTACTGAAAGGTCCACCACCTGCTTCTCTCCATGGAAACTTTATTGCTTTGTCTAGAACAGACATGTCAAAATCAGGCCAAATTTGGCCCGCGATATAATTATATTTGACTTGTGAGATCACATCAAATATGCATTATAGAGATGGCTATAGAGGCATTATTTATTTAAAATGTTATTATTTTATATGATGCTTGTTCTGGATTCAATGCTTAAGCAAAACTATTATTAAACATTTATTTTAATAAGAAAAGGTTTAACATTACATATCTCGAAAGAAGAGAAAACATGCACAGGTTGTAGACATTTTTCAATAAATATTTATTTGGCCCACGACTTCCTCCCAGTTTTTCATTTTGGCCTCTGTGAATTTGAGTTTGTCACCCGTGGTCTAGAATGTTCCACAGTATGGATTAAACTTCTTTATCACAGGGAAGACGAGCGGGTTACATCTCTATGCTACATTACAGTTCAGATCTGTGGAGAGGCACCCCTATTCACAGAACGAATTATTGTATTTTTGAGCAATAGAAACCCTCGTAAAGCTAGATGGAAATGTTTTAATGTCATACCATGGAACATTCCAGGCAAAGCAATAACATCTCCATGGAGACAAGCACTTGCGCAATGCACCTTTAAAATGTTTTGTTATCAGTTTCAGTTTTTGCGCTCAATTTTATCTCCAGTTTTGTGATTGTAGATGCCAATGCTCGCCAAAATAATACAATGTTGTTCCATATCAGATAAATGTTCTAAATCTCTTGTACAAAAAAGTAAACAAAGCACTACAATTTTTATTTTTTATTTTTTTCTGCTTCAGTTATGTTTTTTTTTTAATTCTCAAAATCCGTGAGTCAAACCCTAATCCTATACCTTTTAAATTTTGTTCTTAGCCTCCCCGGATATTTTGGACTTTCCTCGGTAAGTTTTAATTTTTTTTGTGTGTGTGATTTCATGAAACTGTTTTCTGTTTTCTAAAGTACACAGAATTACTCCGTTTCCTTTGTGGGTTTTATGAGGAGACAGTGACATAAGCTAATACTTCTTATCAGATCATTTCAAAACAACATGATCTTTATGGCCGTTCCATGCTGATAAAACTGAAGCACAGTCACTCTGCGTGTCTGGCTCCCTGCTTTGGTTTTAATTGCTTTGATAATCACTGCATGGACAGGGACACCACACCACTAGACGTCAGAATTTACTTCGTGGTATTTACTTTTTTTGTTTTTGTTTTTTTCAAGTCAAGACTGAATAAAAAAATCTGTTCTCGGATCCTCTTCCTCTGTATATTTTTATGCCTTTCTGATTGTTTTTTTAACCGAATTCTTTTACCTATGTATATTTATTTCAACTGTAATAACAGTTAACTACAATTAACAAATTAGAGGTGCATTTTGTAGCTTTTCTTCATGAGGCTGTTGTTGCTTATCATTCCACTGATAGCTTACATTGTTTTCTGTTTCTCAGAACTCGCCTCTCCACAGATCTTTTTTGTTTATTTTTTAATTACAAAATGTAAAAAATATATAGTAAACAGATTAAGTATAATTTAGCAAATGGAGTAAATGGGACACTCCTAATGTTGTAGAAGTTTTCAGCTTGTCCAAGAAAAGGTGGAAGTAAAAGGCTGGAGACCGACTGGATGTCTTAAGCAGGAGAAGTTTATTTTCCATCAAAATACGGGCCTGGGGGGATTTGAAAAGTCAACATAATATGATTTCAAAAGTGAAAAAGAGACTATGAAGGCCAGTAGACACCAGTTAGACAGCAATATGCCAAAATATAATTGTGCACCAAGAGAAGATCATGGTTTAAATATAGCTTTTGTGAGTCAATGTTAAACTGAGATGTACATGGAGCATAAATTACTTAAATTCTCTTACACCTAACACCAACCTTGACTTATAAATGGGCCCATAGCAATTTAAATACAGTCAATACATGTTACAAATGACCTGCATACTGTTACTTACCCGTTTCATTCATTATTCAAACACCTTTCCTATTACTGTCTTTTTCTGACTATAAGGCACATTTAAAATAGTTTCAAAAATCAACAGTGCGCCTTATGTTATTATTTTATATTATGTTATATATTATTGATATTGCACTTTATTATCTGGTGCACCTTATAGTCCGAAAAATACATTACTACAAGAGACCAAGAGATAAAATATTTATATTCAAATCTCTTAGGATTTTACAGGTAAGTCAACAAGACATTAAATTATTTTTTAAAAGCCATCAGCTGAACAGGGTTTTAGTTGATTGTATTTTTCTCAAAGATCTAATCTGACCTGTGACTTGGCTTCTTTTATTCATGGAGGTAGAAATGTTTAATGCATTTTCCTCCAGAAAAGTTACACAGTGCACCTTTGACCCTGTTCTGTTTTTGCCGATAAAATATTTGCATATTAAAAACAGAGTATAATGTTTCACTCACACACATTTTTTCAAATGTAGATCTGTCTCTCCTGCAGTGGTGGAAGAAGTACTAGATTGTGTTACTGATACAAGGGAAAAGATTAGTCAAGTAAAAGTAAAAGCATCGTATGAAAAAATCTACTCAAGTAAAACTACTGACATATCTGTTTAAAAATTTACTTTAACTGTAAAAAGTAAAAGTACTTTGTTTTTTTTTAAACAAAGCATCAAGTCTAGTGTTTTTGTTAAAGAATTTTACAGATTTTAAGTCATTTCAATTATAAATTTTTCTAGCTGTTTTTGTGTTTTTGTGTATTTGTTTTGCTCATAGTTGGGACGTTAACTCAAATTAAATATTCTGAAAATAAGTTTCAGTCATTTCAGTAGCTCTCAAACCATAAAGAAAAGTACGTTTTACATGCTCAAATGTAGTTAAGTAAAAGTAAAAAGTATCCACTGGAAAATGTACTTACGTAAAGTACAGATACATAAAAATTGTACTTACGTATTGTATTTTCACTTTTGTACTTCATTACCTCCCACCACTGCTCCCCTGACCGTTCTTTATTACAGTTATCAACTATTACTACTTATCAGTTCATGCTTATCTGGTTGTTGTATCAATATATTAACTCAAACACATGTCGCCGTAATAAAACTCTTGTCATATGTTTTAGCTTCACATTCAATCCAAAAGAAGGCATTGACAACCCAGCTCTGAACATTAATGATGATGATGGTGAGTTATAAAACATGTACTACCAAGTCATTGATTTAAGTTCCTATATTACACCAAAATGACTCTTGTGAGCTTTAAGTCATGTTATAATGCTCTTACCTCATCAAAAATAGACCTGGAGTTGTGTTTTGTTTCATTCACATGTTTGAGTAATCCTTTATTATTAGTATTCCAGGGCTGAAATGATCCAAATGATTCTAGTGAAGCTATATGGAGTTTAAAAACACAGTGGAGCACTTCCTGCACTTCAAGAACTCGGCCTAAATAAGCAGGATTTGTGTGTGAATGAAACAAAACACAATTCCAGGTATATTTTTGTTGAGGAAACATTACAACATATATCAGAAGTAGCATAATATGGGCCCTTTAAATCCTTTCACACTGTTTTAGAAATAGTTTTGAAATTCTCTGTGATGTTTGATTTCAGAGGAGGTTGTAGTTCCCCGGCTGCTCCACCTGCACCGTAAGGAGGGGCAAAGTTTTGGCTTCTCTCTGCGATGGGACAGTGGTCTGGGGGGTCCAGAGGGGGGACCAGAGGGGGGTCTGGAGGTGAGCACGGTGCAGCCCTGGGGTCAGGCTGAACTGTGCGGGCTGAGGCTCGGAGACAGAGTCCTGGAAGTGAACGAGGAGGACGTCTCCAACACGGAGTTCAACAAGGTGAAGACTTTTACTTACTTTACCAAACATGTTAATTTTATCTTCTTATATACTTTAACTTCTTGGGTTCTTTTTAAAGACAATACAGTAAAGTGTATTTACCTTGTTGACATGTTTCGGCTGCTGCTGCTCACTGTCACAGTTCTGAAGATAGCGTGCAGCTAGCAGCTGAAATATGTCAACATATTTAGTCACTTTAGAAAGTTACTTTTACTTACTTTCTTACTTTACTTACTTTATTTACTTTACTTACTTACTAATTACTTTACTTACTTATTAATTGCTTTATTTACTTTACTTATTTAACTTACTTACTTTACTTACATTCCTTTCCTTTACTTTTCATCACTAATATTATTACTCATGTAGATGTGGTCCTGTATGGTTTGTGTTTAGTCAGCGATGGAAGGGCACAAAGTGTAAAAGTAGAATACTTAAGTACAATTTTTAGGTATCTGTACTTAAGTATTTTCCAGTGATTACTTTTCCTTTTACTTAACTACATTTGAAAACATGTATTTGTACTTAAAACTGAGAAAACTGAGACTTATTTTTAGCACATTTATTTTGAGTTAACGTCCTGAGTAATACCAAATACACAAAAACAGCTAGAAAAATTTAATCACTTAAAATCAGCAAAACTCTTTATCAAAATCTCTTTAATTGCTCTAAAAAAATCTCTGCAAAATACTTTTACTTTTTACTCTTAAAGTACATTTTTAAACAGCTACTTCAATAGTTTTACTTAAAGAGATTTTTTTTTTCATGTGATGCTACTTTTATTTAAGTAACAATATTAAGTACTTCATCCACCACTGGGTTTAGTTTAGTTTAGCTCCAATTTTGATATGGCGGGTACTAAAATCTATACTCTCATATCATACCTCATAAAAGAATAAATCATAAAAGCATGTTTTAAAGTTTCGATTATAGTTAGAGTTTAGGTTAAGTCTAAGTGTGACAGTCACTTAAGATTAGGATTGGTCTCAAAAAAGGACTGGTTGTATTTTACTGGAGTAACTGTACCTACTCTTCCCACCTCTAAAAAAAACTTAGAAAATTGCTGCTTACTTGTAATTTTGTGTTTCGCCTGCAGGTGGTGAGAAAGATCAAATTCTGTGGTTGTCATCTGTTCCTGCTGGTTTTGAGGAAAGAAGAATATGAACAGGTGGAGCATCAATATTTGGTTCATTTCATTGTCTTGCTTTTTTAACACAACAGATAGGTGCTATTTTAAAGAGGCACTATGTATGTTTTCTGGTGACTGCTCCAACTGAATGAGCCTCCACCTAAAACATTCACAGTGCCCCTTTAGTCTGATACACAAAAAGAACAAAAGCATTCAGCAGCATGTGTTGTGAGAGCTTTTGACCTGCTCTCTCTGACTTTGTCTCTGGTCTGATGTCTTGTCTTTGGTCTCTGGGCTTATCTCTGGTCTTGTCTCTGATGTCTGGTCTTTGGTCTCTGGTCTTTGGTCTCTGGTCTTTGGTTTCTGGTCTGGTCTCTGGTCTGATGTCTTGTCTTTGGTCTGATGTCTTGTCTTTGGTCTGGTCTCTGCTCTCTGGTCTGGTCTGGTCTTTGTTCTCTGGTCTGGTCTTTGGTCTGATCTCTGGTTTTGTCTCTGATCTCTGGTCTGGTCTCTGTTTGGTCTCTGGTCTGGTCTCTGCTCTGTTCTCTGGTCTCTGGTGTCTGGTATCTGGTCTCTGGTCTGGTTTTTGATTTGGTTTCTGGCTGGTCTCTGATCTCTGGTCTCTGATCTCTGGTCTCTGATCTCTGGTCTCTGATCTTTGGTCTCTGGTTTGGTCTCTGCTCTGGTGTCTGGTCTTTGGTGTCTGGTCTTTGGTGTCTGGTCTGGTCTCTGGTGTCTGGTATGGTCTCTGGTGTCTGGTATCTGGTCTCTGGTCTGGTTTTTGATTTGTTTTTTGGCTGATCAATGGTCTGGTCTCTGGTCTAGTCTCTGGTTTCCGGTCTCTGGTTTGATCTTTGGTTTGATATCTGGTCTGGTCTGGTCTCTAATCTGGTCTCTGATCTGGTCTCTTGTCTGGTCTCTTTTCTGGTCTCTGCTCTGGTCTCTCTGATCTGGTCTCTGGTCTGATCTTTGGTCTGATCTCTGGTTTGGTCTCTTGTCCAGGCTGTGTCTTCAGGTCTGGATTTGAAGTCTTTGGTGAAATCGTTTAAAGGAGAAAACTGCTGCAGACCGAGACTGTGCCACATCAAACGAGACCCTGAACGTGGCCTCGGATTCAACCTCATCTCACTGGAAGGTATTTTGTCATGATAATCGAACTAGAACATGTTCATTATAAACTATATTACTCAAAATTAACTCTTGTGAGCTTTAAGCCATGTTAGAATGTTATTATCTCCTAAAAAACAGACCTGGAGTTATGTTTTGTTGCATTCACACATGTTTGAGTATTTCTTTATTATTAGTCTGTCTGCATCTCCAAAACTCAAAACAGCTCTGTTCCACCGTGCTAGATAGATAATACTTTATTTATCCTGAAAGAAATTAATTTTTCAGGCAGCAACAATACTTAATGACAATAACATAAGTAATTCAGTTTATAGAGATGCATTGTACTTTTTCTGACAACTTCACAATGTTTCTAGTGAAGCTTAAGATTAAAACACAGTGGAGATCATCATCACTACAAAATGGAACAGAATGTTTTCTGTTTGAGAGAAGAACTCAACCTAAATATGCAGGATTTGTGCATTAAACATGTGTGAATGAAACAAAACACAAGTCCAGGTCTGTTTTTGATGAAGAAGTAACAATGCAACAAATCAGAAAACAGTGTAATTTGGGCCCTGTAAGTGGCTTTATAACAGAAACGGCTCCATTGTCTTCCTGTTCAAAACTGCAGAACTGAAAATCCAAGCCTCTTCATCCTGATATTTAGCCTTGTTTTTTATGTTGATACCTTTACCACTACATGTATGACCCAGAGTCTGAATTTTTATAATAATCCAACATGAGCAGTGGGCGAATATAGGAGATAGGTGAAAATACACATTTTTGGAGCACTCAAGCTTTGAATGCAAATGCATAATTCAAACATGCATGAATTGAAATACAACCCTGAGTAATCTAATTATGATGGAACACTGTTATAAGATAACAACAGATGACCAAAAAAACCCAATATGACAAGATAAATCTCCTTTAAATTTATAGATGTGGTGAGAGTGATTGTCAGTGGTCTTGAGTTTTGCTTGTACAGTAGTTTAGACCAGTGTTTCCCAAACTTTTTTTCTGGTGACCCATATTTCAAAAGTCGCAAATCTTCGGGACCCAAGTCAATAGACATTATTCGTAAATTTGTAAAGTAAATTTGTGACCATTATTGAACATTAATGAGGATATTTTATTGTTGACTGAGTGATCGTGTCTCTCTGAACAATTAGTATTACTCAAGTTTTAAACAATGAAAAACAATCATTGAAACAGCAATAAAAGGATCCATGAGTCGCCTATTTGGGCATTGTTTTTCTTTTCAATATTTAATTGAAGCAGCAATATTGGAACAAAATAGTCAATAAAATAATTAAAAAAGACTAGAAATTATACAAAACATGTCTTAACAGTTCAACATTTCTAATGAGATAGGTGGGCCTGTTTGCATTTTTGTAGCATGTTCCAGTCCGGGGTGCAGGAGGAGAGAGCAGCAGCAGATCAGGTGCAGGATTCAGTCTGTTTCTGTGCTTTGTCTTCATTTTTGTGAGCACAGAAAATCCAAATTCACACATATATGTAGTAGTGAAAGGAATAAGCATAGAAAGTGATTTTGATTTTGATGTAATGCTTATCCAGAATGACAATAACTTCACAGAACTGTACATTGCAGACCTACATGCAGATCGTGACAAGGCGACCCCAAAAAATCTCTTGTGACCCACCTGAAGGTCGTGACCCAGTCTTTGGGAAACAATGGTTTAGATAGCCATGCTTGTTTTAAATTTCTATATCTGTAAACCTGAGCTGGTGTAATCCCTCATTCGTCCTGGAGTGGTTCAATGTAGAAACATTTCCATCAGTGGTCATCTGGACACTGTTTTGTGCGATTGAGATGTTTTGGCTCTCCTCCAGAAGCCGTTTCCAGTTTGATGGAAGAGCAGCTCTACGGGCCAGTCCCATCAAACTGGAAATAGCTTCTGGACGGGAGCCGAAACATCTCAATTGCAAAAAAACAGCCACCAGATGATCACTGATGACTGTCTCTACATTTCCTGATAATGATAATGTGCTTCACAGGCTCAACAAAGCCTCTTATAGTGCACATTCATACTCTACAACACTCAAACCACTCTTGCCCCACTGTTGTGTTGTTTGTATAATAGCTGAGTGTCTTGTTAGGTCACAGAAGGGAGTTCATGGTGAGCACAGAGAGCGGAGGTCCTGCAGAGAGAGCCGGAGTCTGCAGTGTAGACAAACTCATCTGGATCAATGGGACCAGAGCCTCTTCACTGTCACAGAGCGCCCTCAACAGAACGGTAAGCACACAAACATGTACACGACCACGTACAACGCACATCATTAAAGACTTTAGGAATCATTATTGCTTTTACTGACAGGCCTAACTATTTTAATGTTAATTTAATTACAAAAAAATGTATATGTTGGACAAGTTGTTGATTTGTTCTTAAGACAAGTATCCAGTCACAAAAAATAAGCAGACAGAAAGAGCTCCTCACTTTGGGTTGCCAGATAAAACAAATAAACCAGCTATAGAGAAGCTTAAGTTGATTGAATCCTCATTATGTAAACCCCACAAGATCGTGCACAACACAGTTAATGCAGTACATTATAAGTCTTATAGTTTTTTTGTTTTGTTTTTTCCAGGTTTCAGATATAACCTCCAAAAAGTGACTCAGTGCTGTTCATTACCCATAATCCACCACGGTCAACATGTGTTCCTGTCAGGTTTAGCCAAGTTGGAGGAGCTCTGTAGGAGCGACTCCACAGAGCTGATTCATAATATAGCGTGGTGGTGTAACCTGCTTGTCTCCCTTGTGATAGACAGGTTTAATCTGTTCTGTGGAACATTCTACACCAGAGTTTTGCACAGGTGCATTTATGGAGACCCACACCCACCCATATCCACGCAGTACAGCACCACACCGCCCGTTAACCTGTGATTATATCAAAGTTAAATCCGCACCTGCCCAGACCTGTTAACATTCCACTCGTTACCCGCCTGTGCCCGTGATAAATCCGGGTCAGCCCATTAGTCCAACAACCTGGACTGAACCTACACCATGTCATTAGAGGATTATAAATATATACACGCTGCAAACCGCCGAGCAGATCATCAGGACTGGACTGGACCAGGACTGGACCAGGACTGGACCAGGACTGGACCAGGACTGGACCTGGACTGGACCAGGACTGGACCAGGACTGGACCAGGACTGGACCAGGACTGGACCAGGACTGGACCAGGACTGGACCAGGGACGCAGCCAGTGAGTTGATCTCCTCCGCTGATGGTTTAATATAATAAAAACACTAAAGTATCTCTCAGCTTGGCCCATCTTTCCAGGAAAAGACCTGGAAATGTCACTTGTTTCCAGGGCAATGGAGGCCCTGGACACATGTCAAGTATTTTTTTTCCCATTCTTCGTTCATTTGATTCACCTGACCCGCCCGTGTGTAATCACTACTCGCCTGCATACCCACCCGCAAAATTCAAGAATGTTAAAAGCCGCCCGTTCCAGCAACTATTTGGCAGGTACCTGACCCGGTGCAGGACTCTGTTCTAGACAAAGCACAGGAACAGGGGTCTCCAACCTTTTGCCTCTGGTGAGCTCCCTTAACAAAATGAAAATTTCTGAGAGCTAATCATTTTCACCGTCACAAGAAATGAAATCAATATAGAGAGGCAAGAGGCAAGCCTTAGATGTTGTACAGTTAGATGACTATAAAATATAAAATCATTATCAATTTATTAGTTCAAAATAAATTGATAATGGTTTCAAAATAACAAAGTATAAAAAAAAAACACATTTACAATGGTAATTAATCAAATTTGAGTTATTCAGTATAATATATATAATTCATTAAATCATTGTAAGGGAGTGGAGTTACAGGCTGGAGACCCCTGAACTAGAATATTTAAGTACTGTTACTTCAAAATAATGAGTAATTCAAACTGATGAGGTGTGTGTTTGTGTTTGTGTTTTCAGATGAGAAAAAACCCAGACTCAGTGACTCTGCTGGTCATAGACAGTGTCAGCGAGAAGTGTTTTATAAAGAGGAAAATGCCCATTGTCCCTGATGTGGCCGAGTGTTGCAATTTCCCACACAAAGCCAGGACCATGAACCTGTCCAAAGGGAAAGATGGATACGGGTTTCTACTCAGACAGGAGTGGGTTGCCATGAGGGAGAGAACAGGTAAGAAGTATTACACAGCACTACCTATAAAATACTATATGGTGCTATTGATAGTTTGCAGTGACATTTCAAAATAAAAAACTGGGACATCCCCGTTTTTTTGGTGGTTGGTAATAATAAAATTGTGAAATAAGTGTGTAATTAAGGAAAACTGTGATACAGAGACCATTCAGAACTAATATGCATTTGCATTTTCTTTGTGTTTTGGTCATTTTTAAGCTGATTTTTTGTATTTTACCTAAACAAATTACAATGTATGCCTCTCTTTACTGTTTGCAGGAATCAAATTGGTCAAAAATGGGGATACCAGGGCCACTTTTGTATAAAACTTGTAATCACTGGATTTCTAGTTGCCCCAGTTACTAACGCAGCTGTAATATGTAACATGTTCATCTAAAGTCAATAAGTTACACATAACACCAGATGATTTGTTTATTCTCTTGTTTGTCTGTGTAAAAGTTTAAATATTTAGAGTGAAAAAAGAGTGTAAAAGGATGTAAATAATTCCAAAAAATGGCAACACCTTCTTTCATCAGGGCGTGTTAGGGTCACATATAGTATTTGTCCACTGGGCACTCTAAGCTCTTAACGTAAAGAAATCATTCACACTCTGTCTGCAACTGTCTTGCCTAAGGACACAACAATAGACTTCACACAGGTGGGGTCCATAAATAACTTCCATCCTGGTTTATCATTACCCGATCTCAGAAGCTCAGCAGAACAGGGCCTGGTTAGGACTTGGAAGTGGGTGTTACAGTGAGGCAGCGCTGGCTCTAGTTGAAACTGTTGTTGTGTCCTTGGGCAAGACCCTTCACCCACGCTGCCTGTGACTGCTGTGTCCTTGTTTTGTCTGATAATGCGTGTGATTAATACAGAGCTTTCTGGACACTCAAGGACGATTTACATTGCGTTATTCATTCTCTCCATTATCGGTCACATCCACTAACCCACAGGTTGGCGGTGCGATTCCTGCTCCCACAGATGAATGCTGCTGTTGTGTCTTTGGGGCAAAACACTTCACCCACCTCGCCCCCCAGTGTCTGTGGTGTATGAGAGTGTGTGTGAATGGGTGAGTGGTTCCTTATGTAAAGAGCTTTGAGAGTCTTTAAGATGGAAAAGCCTTGTGTAAAAATTTGACCATTACCGTATTATTATAACTCTTTACAGGAGGTCAGGGGTCTTCAACCTTTTTCCTCCAGTGAACTTCTTTTACAAAACAAAAATACCAGAGAACTACTAATTTTAGCAGTCGCACGAAATTGAATATATACAAAAACCACGGCCTTAAATGGTTTACAGTTAGATGCTTATAAAACATAAACCATTTATTACTACACAGAGTTCAGCATCATGTACAGTGGTAATAGCCATTTAATTAACCAAAATTTTGTTATTCAGCACAATGCATATAATTCAGAAATCTCTTGGTGAGGTATTTGGAAGGGGTTAGAGAGCTACTGGTAGCTCCCGAGCTACAGGTTGTAGACCCCTGATGTAGATTATCCTCCTAGGACCCAAACTCTTGCATGGCTTTATTGATTTCTTTTTGTTAATTCTCCTGATTGGGACCTGATGAGTGCAAAAACAATTATATTTGTATAATATTTGTATATTTTTTATATTTATATGTCCACATATGATAAATAAAACATTCTTTGATGTTTTAATCATTTTGATGGAACACAATAAAGTCACAATTGAATAATAATTAGCAAAAAATATTTTTTAAGTGTCTGAACAAACCAAAATGTGTTGGACATATATGACCACATATGTGGTTGCCAGCTCTTAGGAGGCTACAAACTTACTTAAAGGTGCACTTTATAACTTTTGGTTGGGGACTCCCCACCTTCTTGTTTCAGTGGATATGTCATTATTCTGTTTAGAATGTTCCACAGTATGGCTTTAAACAAATCGACCTTGCATTTATTCAGTTACAGGTGGATTTATTGCCCAACAATACCTAGAAATTCTGACTGAACAGATCTGACCTGTAACTTGGTTTGGTTTGGTCTTCATGAAGACAGAAAAGTTTAATGTCATACTGTGAAACATTCACGACAAAGTAATAACATCTCCATGAAGAAAAACATTTGACAGAAAAGGTACATGTTGCACCTTTAATGCCCAGCTTTGTACTACAGCTGTACATGTCTCTGCTCTGTCCAGTGCACGTGCTTCGAGAGGTGGAGAGTGGCAGCCCAGCGGAGGAGGCTGGGATGGAGGATGGAGACCTGCTGTTGGCTGTGAACAGTGAGCCAGTGGAGGGTCTGGAGCATGAGGACATAGTGAAACTGATCAGACAGAGCGGAGACAGGGTCAGCCTCACTGCCCTGTCTGTGAGCGGCAGGGACTTTTACAGACAGGTGAGTACATTAGGTCAGATTTATTAAAGGGCCTATTTTATGCTATTTTCGATCTGTTATAATGTTGTTTCCTCATTACAAACAGACTTGAAGTTGTTTTGTTTCATTCTCACATCTTTTAACACACAAACCCTGCAGATTTAGGCTGAGATCTTGTTCCACCTTGTGATGTCATGTGGTGATACAAAAAGTGCTTCACTGTCTTTGTAAACCCCATGCACCTTTACTAGAATCATTTGGATCATTTCAGCCCTGGAACTGCCAAATATCTACTGAGCAAAAGTTAAAAAGTAAACTGTTAACTTGAAGACTGCCACTTCATTACATCACAAGGTGGAAAAGAGCATTTTGCATATAATAATAATAATGCAGGATTTCTCAAACATGTGTGAATGAAACAAAGCACAACTTCTGTTTTTGATGAGGGAACAACATTATAACATGAGCATTACAACAAAAAACCTCACAAAAGTCAATTTATGACATTTAAATTGTCAAAGGTATTAACAAATTAGAGATTAATCGATACTAAAACTAATCAAAACTAGATACTCATTTGAGCAAGTATTGATTCTGCAAAAAATCTAATTAACAGGACAAAATTTGAGCTTTCTTGAACAATATCATTTTTAGCTTTAATTTTAACTTTCATTTCATTTAACTTCCTTAAATTTTAGTTTTGTGACAACACTATAAAAGCTTGACCTGGTAGGAGACAATATTACATGCTAATCCTGAAATGTGTCAGTCACAACCAGGCCTGTCGACAGAATTTTGAGGGTCCAGGGCAAGAAGCCTCACATGGGCCCCCCCTCTAATATTCATTAATAGGAAGAGGGTTTAATTCTAGGCCCCGGGACAACAGAGCCCTTTGTCACCCCCTGTCTACTGCCCTGAGTACAACGTTTAAAAAAAGATAAAACAATCCCATATACAAAACAATAAAATACAAGAAAGCAGTGTGTACAACAGATAACAAAAGGGCAATGCAAATAGTTTATTGATTTTAACATTCTACAAAACACAAATAAGCACACATTTAAAGGTATAATTTTACCTTTTCTTTTGTCTGCTGGAAGGTTCACTACCTGTTTGTCTCCAGGGAGATGTTGCTTTTTCTGGAGTGATCCTCAGTACAACATTAAACTTATCCATCTTGCATTTAGTCTTTTTTTTTTTATTGCTAAAAATACCTGGAAAAACATGCATTACTTTGAGCAGGTTCACCTCTTCAAATGTAACTGTGTCACCAGCTTGTCTCCATTGCAGATAGGCAGGTAAAATGCCGTATTGTGGAACATAAAGACTTTTTTGTTCAGCTGATTTTATCTCCAATACCTGCCTTTTATTTGTATTTTGCCTCTGTTGTTTTTAACGTTTTAATGTTGTGTAGCACTTTCAGATATTGTTGTAAATGTAAAGTGTGTTATAAAGAAAATTTATTATTATTATAATTACCTTCTCAAAGCAATACAATCTCCGTGGAGACAAGCAGGTGACAGACCCTCCACAACAGAAATGGCCAACGCTGAAATCCTGTTTTTGTCTTTAGTTGGGTCTTCCTCCCCTGTTATTCCATCAGGATGCTGAAGAAAGCTGCAGTGAAATCACAACTGGACCAGCAGACAAACTTGGAAAAAATAAGGTGATCTTTTTTCCACAAGTCAAATGCTCTCCTGAATAAACAGAACATTTAATAGTGCATATTAAAGTGCGTTTGACAGGTTTTGATCATTCTCTAATTTTGACTTTGTTTGGTTGGATAATGCATGTTGTAAATATAAATTATAGTTTTAGACTGATTAAAAAAGTTGAAAGAAAAGTTGAAAAATGTTTTGAAAATTACAGACAGTAGAGAGTTCTATTTCAGTAGGAGAGAAGAGTACAGTAGTTTTCTGTTACTTTAAAAATCGTTTCTACAAAATAAAGGTGTTTTGTATTATTATTATTATTCATTTCTGTGTACATTTAATTTAAAGTTTTGGTATAGTGTGCAATATGTCGCAATTTCTATACAGAAAGTCAAATTTCAAACCTGAAAAAATGGCCAAACCAGTGAAAAATGTATACAGTTTTTAGTCAAATCTTAAATAGAACTTACAACTTACATGTGTTTTAGTAAAATGAGTAGTCCAATTTGTCATAGGCACTTTAAGGAAGGCTATTTTTTCATCTGTAGTCCCATGACAGATGTTAATGTCGACCCAAAACAACAACAGAAAAATTCTGATGTATTATTGATCATATTGTTTTTCTGTTTTTAGACGACACCGAAAACTGAAGTCTTTTTGTGATGAGAGTGTGACGAGAGGAAAAGAGGAACAAATCAATTTTCTTCGCAAGCCAAGGAAGTAATACATGTCAAAATTGTAAAATAATAAGTTAAATGTTTTACCAAAATATCAGATACCTATAAATTGTAAATAGTATATATGCATTTTACTAAATTAAAAAGAAATGTCATTCAATGCAGCTGAATCTGTGACATTTATTTGTGCAATGCTTCCCTCTAGTGGCTCGATACTTGAATGACAAACAAGTGCTAATTGGTTGTACTACAGACCTAATGTTGTAATCATCTGTGACCGTAACATTTTGGCAGAGCATTTTACGTCACATTACAGACGGTGATCGCGTGACAACTTTCTAACACAGAGGAAGTTAAAAGTTCACTCTGTTCCAAGTAGTTGCAATGTTGTCTTGAAGAAATCAGGTTTTACCAAGGCCTTTAATATTGGGCCCCTAAACAGAGCCCCTTGTCCCCCCACCAGTCTACTGCCCTGATCAGAACATTAGAAGAAAGATAAAACATGCCCATAAAAGCTAGCATTCTAAATAAATCTAGATTCAAAACAATAAATACAACAAAACATGTGTACAAATGTGTGTACAGCAGATAACACATGGACAATGCAATGCAGATACTGTAGTTTATTGATTTTAACATTCTATAAAACAGTCAGAAACACACACATTTAAAGGTATCATTTAACTTTTTGTTCTTATAAGGCAGGGGTGTCTAAATTTTTTCATCAAGGGCCACATATCTAAAGAGGGCTGATCGAGGGCTGTAAACTGGAGTTCTGTACAGTGAATAATTGAAATATGTGCAGGTTTAACACGTTAGAATGAGCCATCAGTCTTTTATTTATGCTAAGATCCTTAAAAGCACACACTAAATATTAAATATTAGCTTTATCAAGGTAGATTTTCAAAAAACTAAAGTAACTAAGTAAAAAGTAATTTTTTTAAATTGATGCAAGGCAATTTGGACCAATTCACCTGAAAGCCTGAGGGCCAAGAAAAATGTGTCTGAGGACCACATTTGGCTTAGCAAGGTTTAGACATGCCTGTTATATGGTCTATATTACATTTTACAGGCTATTGTTAAAGTAGTCTAAAATGCATAAAAGTTAGTCCCACACACCACATGAAATATAAGGACTAAAGTGTGACTCAACGCAGAACTAAATCAGCGACTAGATGAGGGCGAAACCTAGATTAATATATTCTGAATGGGCAAAAGTCCTTGACATATGAAAGCTAAAACCTGATGAATAGGCCCTATATTACACAAACTCTTGTGAGCTTTAAACCATGTTAGAATGCTGTTCCCTCTTCAAAAACAGACCTGGAATTGTGTTTTGTCTCATTTACACATTTGAGTAAAACTTTATAACTAGCATGTCTACATCTCCAAAGCTCAAAATGCTCTGTTCCACCTTGTGATGTCATGAAGCGGTATTTTTCAAGTTAACAGCTACATTTTACCTTTACTTGAGCAGACATAGGCAATTCCAGGGCTGAAATTGTCAAAATGATTCTAGGTGAAGGTGTATGGAGTTTTAAAAAAAACAAAGGAGCTCTTCCGGTATTACTACATGACATCACAAAGTGGAACAAAACAAACATGCCGGGTTTGTGTAAATGAAACTTACTTAGTCATTTCCTTACTTACTTAGTAGTAGTTTATTAGGTCATTTTGCAGCACTACAAAACAAAACAAAACAAAACCTAGACTGCAACCACGTGGATCATGAATGAAAGGAATTACTCTGAAGTAAAAAGTACTTCTAATGCCAAACCCTATTAAACAATGACAGAATTCCAAGAAAGAAAAGCAGCATTTGAACAGCAAGTTTGCATTTACAGTTTCACTTGTGAGATACTGTATATATAAGAGACAAAATATCAGTTAAAACAAGCAAAAATTAATACATAATTCCTTAATAGCTTTCAAAACATAACGCTTTATACTCTTTTTTTTTTCTTAAAGCTTCTACAGTGTTAGACTTTTTTTTTATTTTATTCATTTCTGAACATATATTGCGCTGAATTACTTAGATTTGATTAATTAAATGCCTATTAGATGCCTAACTTTGTGCACTAATAAATTGTTGTACATTGTATTATGTTTTATAGACATCTAACTGTACCTCATCTACAGCTTGCCGTGACTTTTATTATATTTACTCAGTTTCTGGCAACCTTAAGATGAGTAGCTCTCTGGTATTTTCGTTTTACAAAAAGTAGTTCACAGGAGGAAAATGTTGGAGACCCCTGCACTAACCCTTCTAACAGAAATACAATCACTTTTTAAAATTCTTATAATTTTTTTAAAGATGCCAAACACAACTCCAAGTACAGTATGTTTGTAATGAGTAAATAAAATTATAACAGAAATCAGAAAATAGCGTGATGTGGCCCTTTAATACACTGAGACTGCGTGCCCTCACTCGTTCTTTCCAGTTCACGCTTTGCACGTTTACTTCTCTTTGGAGTTAACCCCGAAAAGTCACACTCCTCGTACATACCACTATCTTTTTGTTTATAATATTAGGAAATGATCCATCGTCAGCTCGCAGCGCGTGGAGGCGGAGCGTCTACCGGAATCCACTCCACTCCCACTTCCTCCGTTCACAAGCCCAGAGCGAACTTCAGCCCCGTGTCTGCGCGCACTGTCCCCGCGTGTCTCCTCTCACAGCCCGGGACCGTGGCACCGTTTACCCCGCGGAGGAGAACAACGCACCGGAGCTGGCGTCCGTGCGTAAAAGTGCCCATGTGCGAGTGTGGGAACCGGCGCTTAGTTTTGACAGATTGGAAAATACCTGAAACATCTGGCAAGTCCGTGCAGCTACTTCTGCCCCCATGTAAGTGACAGCTTCTGATTGTTTGTTTGACATTTAGTGAACGCTTCTGTTACGATTTGTGCGTGATCGTGGGAACAGTTTAACCTCTGCGTTTCCTTTACTGGCACGTGTTTCAATTTTCACTGTAATTTATGACTATGAAAAAAGTTAGTGGTTGATTTTTGCTTAATTGGCAGCTCTGTGACTGCTCGTTTTGGTTTGTAGCATTAAGAATGTCACTATAGCACATGTCGCTGCTACGATCATTTATCATTTATTAGGCTCTTTTCTGATCTGATCTATGATATAATCTTATTTCTTCATCACAAACAGACCTGGAGTTGTATTTTATTTTATTCACACATGTTTAAGACACAAACCCTGCATATTTAGGCTGAGTTCTTCTCTCAGACACCTTCACTAGAATGATTTGGATGATTGTAGCCCTGGAATTTCCAAAGTCTACTAAACAAAAAGTAAGGTAAAGATAGGTGTTCACTTTAAAACTACCGCTTCGTGACATCACAAGGTGGAACAGAGCATTTTGAGCTTTGGAGATGTAGATAGACAGAGTAATAAAGGGTTACTCAAACATGTGTGAACTCCGGGTCAGTTTTTGAGGAGGTAACTGCATTCTAACATGACTTAAAGCTCACAAGAGTCCATTTTGTGTAATATTTGTGCTTTAACAATCGTGAAATCTTGAATTCTTTGATTGTTTACACTGTTAAATAGATCAACATTTGTTATGCAATCACCTGTTCTGAATTATAATGAGAATGTGACATAAACAGTCAGTTAAACACACCCTCTCCCTTCAGTTTGTCACTACTGGTGAATAGATTGAACTGAAATGATTCTCGTTGCTTCTAAAATGATTAAACCTATGTTCTGTTTTATTGTAACCTGCAAAAGTGCAATGAATCTATCCATTAAAGATCCACTGTGTAACTTTATCTGGTGAAGGGGCCATTGAATGCTTTTCTCCATGGAGATGTTGTTGCTTTGTCTGGAATGTTTCACAGTATGGCATTAAACCTTTCTATCTTTATGAAGACCAAAACAGACCAAGTTACAGGTCAGATCTGCGGAGAGGCAACTCCGCTCACAGTCAGAATACCTGTTGTAGGTATTTTTGATTTTAAAAAACACCTGTAATTGAATAAATGTAAGGTGAAGCTGTTTAACGTCATACTGTGCAACATTCCAGGCAGAGCAATGACGTATCCATAGAAACAAGCAGGGGACAAAAAAGTTACACGATGCATCTTTAACAGAAACATTTTAACATCCGTAGTTTATTTATGAGTGAGATTGCCTCATTTTAGCTCAGGTTATTTCTTTAGATTGTCATTCACTATTAGTCTGTCTACATCTCCAAAGCTGAAAACGTTTTGTTCCACCTTGTGATGTCATGTAGTGGTAGTTGTCAAATTAAAAGCTACCATTTTTAGATTGTTATTGTACATTGATTTGGTTTAGTCTGGTTTAGTCTCACGAAATTACTGTAGGCCATTTCTCACGTAGGTGTGTCATTCATTCAGATCTGGTTTTGGCCATACTCGGGCTAATCCCTTTAATTACTTTAATTTATACTGGGATGCACATTTACTACACCAAACTATAATAGGGCAATAATAACACTGATTTTACTGTTATTATAAATGTTGTAAAGCTCTAATTTTTATAATCCCTTGTCCTGGTAGTTTTGGACTTTATGTTGGTTTGTTTTAACCTGAAGTTTTTTCAAGATTAAAGGTGATTAAAGGTGCACTGCATAACTTTTTGTTTGGGGACTCATCACTGCTCTGCTTGGAATGTTCCACAGAATGACATTAAACAGCTCTACCTTACATTTATTAAAGTACAGATGGTTTTATAGATCAAAAATATCTAGAAAAAGGCATTCTGACTGTGAGCGGGGTCGCCTCTCCACAGATCTGACTTGTAACTTGGCGTGGTTTGGTCTCCATGAAGACAGAAAGTTTTAATTCCATACTGTGAATCATTCCAGACAAAACAATAACATCTCCATGGAGAAAAGCATTTGACGGACCCTCCACCAGAAAAGTCACACAATGTACCTTTAAAGGGACAGTCCAGAATTTTGAACATAGGACCTCATTTCCTAGTGATCCAGAGTGTTGGAGACGTGTGGAGACACTTTTTGAAATATTCCATCCAGTCCTTGTATTTACAGAGGTCACTGGCGCTAGGCTAGTGCATGTCAATGGCCATAGTTATCCTGTCACTAAAAACAGTCTTACCTAGGGGTGGGCGATATATCGATATTTTAAATATATCGAGATAGTTTTTAAACTCGATATGAATTCTGACATATCGTATATGTCGATATAATGCTTATATTCAATTTTGATTTTGCCGCTTCGCTTGTTTGTCTTCTCTCTCGTCGCCTCCGCGCGCCTCCGCCTCCCTGATTTTGTTCGCTCGTGTCTCCTTCACTCGTCACTACCACCGTGAATGCAGAAAGTTGGTGCCAGTGAAAAGCTTCAAGCACCACGAACCTTTTCCACCATTTACAGACAAAACCATCAGCAGCACATCCTCATATTCCACTGAGTCGCGTCCTTTTGCCCGAAAGAAGCTAAACGAGCTGAGCTGCACGAGAAGTGCACTGTTTATGCAAATGAGCCATGCATTTCTGTAAAATGTAAACACACGTGCGCAAAACTGCATTAAACACATTATTATCTCAAACAGGCTGATGTGGCTCTACAGTCCTTATGCTTTATATATTGTAAAGTTTAGCAATGTAAAGTTTATTTATGCAGAAGATTTTAATTAATAGTCTGCTGCAGTGTCACTTGTACAATAGTGTTTGGAAACGTTTGGTTTGATCTGCAGTGGATTGTGGGATTAAACCTCAGAGCTCCTTACTGCTGGAACATGGATCTGTTAAAATAAGGAACATCCTGAGCTTCTTCTGCTGAAGGAGCTTATGGTTCTGGTTCTGGTTTGGATAACAGAGTTAATGCAAAGATGAGCTTGTGTTGAGTTGTTTTATTTATGAATGAAAAGAAGAAAATATGTTTTATTTATTTTATTTTACAATTAAATTATTATTTATGTAATTAGGGTTTTTTGTAATCTTAAATGTTCCTATATGAACTGCCGACCTCTTACACTTCAATTAAAAAAAAGGACCTTGTTGTATTTGGCAGATTTGTTTTTGCAGTTTTCAGTTTTAGGGTGTTATTTTTTCTTGAACATATATCGAGATATATATCGTATATCGAGATATAGCAAAATATATCGAGATATATTTTTTGATCCATATCGCCCAGCCCTAGTCTTACCCACTCCACAAAACACCTGAAGAAAATCTATTATTACTCCAGACTGTCCATGTGAGTGTCTGTGTTCATAGAATAAAGTTTGAAATAAAATTAACCTTGCACCGCATGAATTGTCGTATGTTGAGGGACTATTTTTTTCAGCAGCAGCGGAATTTTACTTTGCCGGTAAGATAGGTGCTAGGTGACATCAGTCCACTGCTGCCAAACTTTCTATCAGGAAGTACAAATCGCTGCTGATGCTCAGACATAAATCCTTCAAATGCAAGGTGTGTTTACTTCTAAAATGATTCTATCAACACAGACACTCACACGGACAGTCTGGTGTAATAATAGTTTTTCTTCAGGTGTTTTGTGGAGTGGGTAAGACTGTTTTTAGTGACAGGCTAACTATGGCCATTGACATGCACTAGCCTAGCACCAGAGACCTCTGCAAATACAAGGACTGGATGGAATATTTCAAAAAATGTCTTCACACGTCTCCAACACTCTGGCTCACTAGGAAATGAGGTCCTATGTCCAAAATTCTGGACTTTCCCGTTAAGTAATCAGATGCTTCTGTTATTTCTTTTGGATTACTATATATTGGTTCATTCCTTAATTCATTAATTAAACCAAAAAGCTTGTCATGACAACAAATTTTGAAACATGTTACATCACAACAGAGATAAATTACGATAAACAATGATAATTGAAATATACTTTATACCACTGACATAAAACAGAAGAATCAGAGTAAACCAACTTTTAATTAGACGGAATCATTAAAAGGTCAGAGGTGCAACAAACAAACAGCAGAATTAACCAATAATTAGCCGTGAAAGTTATTTATTCTACCCTCTACGCTCAAATCTTATTGTATTACATTAAAAATCGCTAAAATCCTACCCACAATTGTAAAGAAATTATACACGATAAATATTGAGTCCCTATACACTGAGTTCAAACATGTTATAGTCCTGTGTGTTTTCATTTCTCAAAACTACCGCCAAAACTTGGATTCTTACTGCGATCAGGTCCACTTCTCCACAGATCTGACCTGTAACTTGGCCTGGTGATGCAGCCAGCTTGTCTCCATGGAGATAGTAAAATGAAATGCCGTACTGTAGATAGAACACTCAAGGAAAAAATAATAACATCTACATGAAGTCAAGCAGGTGGTGGACCCTCTGCCAGAAAAGTTACAAGGTTTTTCTTTGCTTTAGTTCAGATTTTAGTCTTTGAAAACCATCCAATGTCTCCATGGAGATGTTCTTGCGTTGCCTGGAATGTTCCACGGTATGACATTAAAACGCTCAAAAATATAATAATTCTCTCTGTGAATAGGTGCGACTCTCCACAGATCTGACCTGTAATGACGCCTATAGTTGTCTTCCTTGAGATTTTTAGTTTAATCTCTACCATGAATCATTCTAGACAAAGCAATCTCCATGAAGACAAGCAGGCAACAGATAATCTACCACAAAAGTTGCACAATGCACCTTTAAATGAGTCATAGAACATTTTATGGATTAAATTGCATCAAATAGTCAAAAAATAATGAAAAAAACCCTCAAATTTCCCAGCAGTGCCAATAAAATGTACACACGATAAATACTGACACCAAAAATGTATCGTTCCTTCTTTCACGTATTGAAGGATAAGTCGATCTAGTCGTTATGGTGACAGGTCCAGATACATGTAGAGGCTTTTTCACATCGATCACCT